GTTTTTTATTATTATCAATTTCAGATTTTTTTTTGTACTTTCCAGTAATATCGATATCATGCCAATTTATCATCTTTGAGTATGAGATCTAGAAACAATTCGATTTTATCTATAGATAGATTATTAAATTGAGAATGAAAAATGCCAAAAGGAAGGCAGTATACAAGCACATTCGGGTACAGCAAGCTTGAATAAATGTTGAACAGAATGAAAGTAAAGAAGTAAAGAATTTTGATTAGGCCCCTATTTAACTGTAAGATAGGGCTATTAAAAACGTGGTTTCCTGAGAGATCTCTTTTGTCGACATCTCCTGAATCATAAAAACGGAGCCTTCTAGTTCCAAGGAAAAATAATTCAGGGAACGTTAATTAATATAGACATCGACTTTAGATGGGTGTTCTCTTCAATCAGCCTCCCCAATAAATATTTCACTACCCGGCACGAAAACAGACCACATGTCGGAATAATATACGTGATGCTACACGCGCACCTATTCACCAACCACGTTAGCCTTCTCCACACAATAGCCTCGTTTTCGAAATGCAATCGGGGAACCCCCGTGCGAAGACGAGGTAAAATTATTATATCGTTTATTCCCACGACTAACCAATTGGCAATGTACAAGTACACTATTTGCGAGTTTTATTTTACGAGACCTTATATATGAGCTAAGTAATGGTGCGAGAGTAACACCCATATGGTAACCTGCAGTGTCGCTAACAGACCGTCACTAGGGTAAAGTGGTCGGCATGTATACTATATACACACTATATATACACCATATATACGTTTCGTAATGATTACTTCTGTAATTAATTCAAAATATTGTCTCTTAAGTCGTGAAAAACCCTTCACAAAAACGTGAAGCAGTGTAGAAATCCTCATTCTTAGTGTTTGGTCCACATCTTAAGTTAACCGCAAATTCCTTAACTGCCGCGATAGCTCAGTTGGGAGAGCGTCAGACTGAAGCCGGCTTGTGTAGCACAAGATTGTACAGAGATCTGAAGGTCGCTGGTTCAATCCCGGCTCGCGGCATTGTATTTTTCTATTTTTATCCGATGAAAGTTCACTTTACTTTCTTTCTTCAAGCATGTTGATGTTCTTTTTAAATAGTTTACTGCATAAAATGATATTCAATATCTGCCTATATGAAAAGCATATTGGTAAGATAGGAAAAATTGCCCTTAGTAGATTTCACCTCATTTTCATTGAATTGGAGTGGAATTTCTATGAAAACTGTTCTTGCCTATTATTACCACCATCCCTGGAAAAGTTAAGTTGGAATCTGTTGCATTCTAAAAATTAATCAAGTTAAGCTTTTGAATGTAATTTCTAAATGGTATGAATCGAAGCTAGTGATCAAATTTTAATTTGTAGTGTTTCGTGAAAAGCCATATAATCTTTCAGGCCTTTCTTATGGAAGGGTTTTCAAGATGGGACGAGGACAGAATTGCCGAAGCCATGTCTGGGGACAAAGGTGGTTTTCTTTCATATAATGGTATTTAGGACTTCTCCATGATTTTCCATTATATATTTATCCTCTATCACATATAAAATTAATTTACTTTTACAAAATAATAAAAAATGGGCAGAAACACAAGTAGGACATTCAGGGCTCGACATTAGCGCCTGTCCGCCTGTCCGGGACAGGTAAAAAATCAGTTCGGACAGGTGAAGTTGCAGGGTTGGCTGTCCGACGGACAGGTCATGTTTTATAAGAAATTTGGATCAAAAATCTTTAAAAAATCATTTTTTGTTGCATACTAACGTCTTTTTGTCTCTTCCTAGACCGTACTGAAAAGAATGACCTACTTTTGGCACAAAACACATGCAGTCGCAAAACGAAGTCTGAGTAAACTTACCGCCAAATTATGAAAGTGAACACCCTCCAGAACTTCATCAGACAAAATTTATTCACATATCAGGTTCACTACTGAACATTTATTTAGTTAAAAATCTACGTGCTCTAGTAATAAAGACACTTCCAAAAACAGACACTACACAAGTACTGTGCTGGAGCCAGATTGGACTGGATGAACTGGCTATATCTAGTTTGTTGTCAAGGCAACATACTGCCTGTCAATCAAACTCGTCGTACGCTATCTACTCACTATAGAAAGTGAAATCTTTGGGACAGAAGATCTTGTTGAAATGTTGTTTATTTGCCAAAATATAACCTGAAATTTTGTATGATGCTTTCTTTAATGACTCTAGCATCACCTCTGTTATTTACTGTATAAAATTTAGTGCTGGAATATGATAAATTAACATTGCTCTCATATACCAGTGTGATATTGATGTAAGGAAGAAATTAGTAATAACAAATATGAGAATTTAAAAAAAAAAGAAGGGGAACTTTTTTATGCTGATTTTAATAAGTTCATATATTTTTTAAAAATCAAACACGTGATAACCCCTTAAGAAGTTAAATTGTTAACATAAATATAAGTTAAGTATTATAAAATGAATATTCTTTAATTTTCATTGAACTTTATTCAAATATTATAAAATTTGAATATTTTAATAAAATTAATTTAACAGTACCCCCTCCCCACTTCCCGCTCAGTTTTTTTTTTTTTTTTTTTTTTTAGCTTTGGTTTAACTTCATGTGAATCTGTAATCAAATTGCAGACTTACACTTAGTAGACCCTGTACCCCAAATCCTAGGAGAAGCCCTGATGTTAAATATCAGACTTATATGCAAGATTAAGACTCCGTTCACATGGAAAGTCTATTTTCTAAAAATCTATTTTCTATTCGCGGTATCTTGTAATCACGGTCCCTGTGCCCTGTATATCCCGAGAATTAATTACAGCTTTGGAAGTAACTGGCTCGCGCCGCCAGTAATTACGCCGCGGGATATTCAGGGCACAGGGACCGTGATTACAAAATACCGCGAATAGAAAATAGATTTTTAGAAAATAGACTTGTCATGTGAACGGGGCCTAAATCTTCAGGAGTTCACAAGTATGAAAAAACAACTTTTTATCTGAACATAAATTCACTTTAAGGTGCATTTTCGGGGCTCATATGATTGAATGTTTTGGTAATATATATATTAATTTAAATGTATGACTTCACATATTTATTGACAAAGTTCAAAGGTATGAATAGAAAAAAATATTGGTTTTGTGTCCGAAGGACAGGTGCTCATAAAAGTTAGTGTCTAGCCCTGGACATAGATAATTGTTAAGTTCTGAACAGTTTTCATTAGCTACATGTTTGAAATAGACCAATTGAGTTTCTTTTGTCAACAGCTATAGAAAATTCACTGATATTTATCAGCCATTATTTCGTCTGCTGACTGTCAGACTTCATCAGGGAAATGAGGGCTGTGGTAGGTATTCTGACCCGTCACCTCTCAAGTGTGCTGTCTAGTCAGTGTGCTGTCAAGCACATTAAGATGTATGAAAATGGAATGCACTATACAAGGTAATTGTTTCTAGGAATTTAAGGATTTTAGAAATCTACATAATGCTTGCAAATACCATTACAAACAACCCCCTATGAAAAAGCATGATAATTTACAGGACAGTCATGTACGGTTATAAGTTTTTAAAAGCTCTTTTATACATCCATATTGAGCCACTGTGCATCATCTTCCAAGTTTGATTTTGGTTTTAAGCACCTTGGGAACAAATCTAATAGTCAATGAAATCCTTGTATTCCTATCCTTCTCTTCTCCCTGAACAGCACTAGTGAGATGTAAGTTTGCCATTTTTTCATTAATTTGGTCCTTTTTTACATCTGCTATCCCATGCAGGTAATTTTCATACATGTCATTCATTGTGAGAACCAAGCTCCTAGGTTCCAATAACACAGATCCAATATATCTTTCCTCCAGAGAAATTTCCCTGTTGCCATCTTCTTTCTGAAGCATTAAAGATTCAATAAATGTTATTTTACTGCAACATTAAAATTTCAATAAACTTTAGAAAAAACAATAATTTCATTATTGCAACAGTCAGTGGTTTGGGCAAATATATTGGTATACGATCCTTTGGCCCGACTACTGGGCCTGCTAAGCCTTTTAATTTCTTTGAATATTCCCAAGTCCCTAACAAGCATGCAACCTAAGATGTTGCTCTTAGAATCTAAATTTCTTTTTTTCCTAGTACACAAGATCATTATATCATGAAAAAATATGATAATACTGTTTTTTGAACTCAACCTACCTTTGTATCAAATAAAGCTCCCTAATAAATTTGAAGTAAAATAAAATATACAAATTGGCACCAATAGGGAGCCTGTAGCAAAAATGCATGCAAATAATTGAATAACTTTTGTAAAAATTCTCATGTTGATTTTCCAACTCACCCCACTATTTAACCAAACAGAGCAACTCTATAAATCTGAGGTAAAACCAAGACACGGCTTGGCTGTCAGAAGGAGAACAAAAGAAAACTTGCAAAGTCCAGGCCTACCCAACTCCAGATGGGACGTTTTTCAAGGTTTGTATCAGTATGTGCTTCAAAGTATCAGACGTGGCAGAATTCCAGGCAAGAGGGTGCTGCACCTGATACTCTGAACTGCACTTCGAACCGCATACTGATACACACCTTGAAAACCGGTAGCATGATCCAATCTACAGTGAATTCTAGATTCCGTACCGTGTCTGGTAGTTGGGTAGGCCTGAAGTCTGCATATAATTAAATTTCAATTACAGTACCTTGATCAACTATCTCTATGGGGGCTCTCACATATATGCTTAATTAAGAGCTCGACTTTTCATTATCATGCAAGAAAACAATGACAATGACTCCTTGTTAAAATTATTGCAGACTGAAAATTAACCAAGCAATATCTAAAAAGTTCCATGAACACACCTTTTCCACTTGGTGGCCCTCAGCCATTGTGTCCCCTGTTGAACTAATGTTATCAGCATCACTGCTGATGCTGTGATAAAAATCCAACACAGAGTGACTACCCAGAGTAATGTTGGAGACAACTGGGTAATACAATGGACCATCTGTATGAGGCTAGGATAAAAAAAAGCTACATCAATAACATAAAGTGCATTCAGACATAAACCTGGACTGTCCTATGTGTACAAGGCATCACCAAATGATCAAACTATGTTTTAAGCGTGTAATATGTGCCAATGAGCAATAGAGTATTTATGAGTTCTTAATTTGACAGAGTAATGGTCAGTTAGTGTTAAAAATTGTTGAGGACCCATAGATTTGATACCTTTCACACTTTTAAGGATATTTTATTTAGCAGAGCACATTTGTACACCAGGATGCCTAGAGAGAGCTTCCACTGAACACAAACTACTAAATAATGGGCTAATTAAATTGTTCATCAAATGAAATCTGTCAGACTGAAAACATTCCAGGCTTCTCTGTTTATCTCATCACACTAATGATTCTTTCTTTGTCATAATGGTTACTTTACTCATAGTTAAGTATATCATTCAATATTACAGTGGAATATCACAATTACATCAATTACCAATAATACACCGCACTTTGTAGATGCAGCATTTCAATTGAAGAGATACAATGCAAAACATCATTTATAACAACTCTTACAACATTTGCTACCTATTGACCTAATGTCTTATTGGATTGGTCAGTCTAACAATTTGTTAGTATTACTGTAACAGAATTTATTTAAAAATCAAAGCAAAGAATAATATTTTTTATTGGCTAATCCTTACCATTATCCCTTGACCTGGTAGATATTCATTCACCAAAACATGATTCGGAGTTTTATCTTGAAATACTCCTAATAAAGCTATCTTATCACAATAGGTTCCCAGCCACTGAAATAACATGATATCTGTGTTAAGTTTCACAGAGAAAAAAGATACATCAGTTCAAACTTGGCTCAATAAATTTCATTAGCATCATAAAGGTGGTGGCACAACGGGATAATACCGTATATTTTACAGACATTGTTCAAATAATTAATATAATTATGACTTCTAGAAATATTCAAAACAACATTTTACCTGTGGCATCTTCTCTGCTATCATCCCTTTTGGATGGGGTAATCCTCCTGGAGGGAATAACAAATAATAAAATATTCTGATATATGAATACACAATTCAAAAAAGCTAAATTTACAGTTACTGTAATACTTTATACATACTTAGGTATAATTAAGCATCATGTCATTATTAAAAGCTAAGTTTCATTTCATTTTTTATGACTATGGCAATTTTCAAAAAAAATAAATAAATAAAATAAAAAAAAATAAAATAAAATAAAAAAATAACAATAAAAATAATAATCAAGATTTATTTCACCATAATAGTTACCCCAATTTTGCAATCTTCTATTTAACAACCGAGTCCATTTTGGTTTTGGAGCATCATACACAGATTTCCATAGTGCTTTTTCTTCTTCTTCTGTGATGAATTCTGGGATGTAATAAATAGTTGGCGGGAGCTGCAGAAAGAAAACAAATGCAAAACTGCCAGCTAAATCCACAAACATTTCAAATCTAAATAAGGGTAAGATAGCTTGTTTACAAAAATATCTCATCGCACCCTTCTTCAAGACAAAAGGCATATTATATTATTAAATAAAAATGCCATTGTCCTATCATTTTAATCAAAATAGTACCACAAATCAGGGGCGGATCCAGAGATATTTTCTGACAGTCCGACAGAAAAAATTGGATGCCCATCAATGTAAACTTCAAAATTCTGACCATCTTCTGGAAGACCCAGAAGACGACTTCCTTCCACCCCTGTAAATAACCATCTATTAGCACGTCCTTTTATGAGTAAAAAAATCAGGCAATTTTGGAAAGCATTTTCAGGACAAGTGCCCAAGGTTCTTATGTCCCTAGACTATATCAGCTATGCATGAAGGAAAAAGTCATTAAAATGCCTTGGAATGAAAACATCCTCATACTGATAATAATTATCACAATATTTGTGACACCTTTATGAAGGTGACGGTTTTTGGACAGAAATAAATCTTTTAATTCAAAATACACACTATCTCATCACACGAGCTTTTCCGGAGAACTCAAATTAAACATTTCCGCCCAAGCCGTTTGAATAAACTGCACCTTTTCTAGGATGAACGTATTTAGGTCAATCACGTCGTCCGCTGCCATATACCCTCCCTAGTACTAGCAGTCACAGCAGGGGTAATCCTAGAGAGGGGTAAGAAACGTCCATTGTTCTCGTCAGTGAGGCTAACCGAATTCAGGGTATGTACGCACAGACAGAAAACCATGTATTGTGGGAACGTTACTAATGAAGCCACTGGTAGTACCAGTAGATATCAGTCTGAAGTCTAGAACAAGCACCTCGTTGACGAGTGAATAGTTGTCAAAAACAAAAGACCCAGGTGTGGTAGATCGACTACTGTTCGCGCGTGCAGCAAAGACCAAGCCTAATTGCCCCTCAAGGTCACAAACTAATATCCGGTGCTGACGGTTAGGCTCGTCATAATCATATAAGTAGCGCGTTTCCACCCCCTGGTCACAGCAGCAGTAATGGCCATTGAACCATTGAAACGGAAACATAGACCAAATTTCTCCGCACATTCCAACGAAGATGCATCTGATTGGATAATTTTGTAAACACATGGAAGCAGACAAATGAAAGCAGGATTACCCCTGGATGAACGCGATTTGCACTGAAGAAAAAGGCAATAATAAGCACTAATAAGCAAAAATGGCAGAGTCAGCAAATGCGCCGGTGAAGCAAGAGCCTGTAGACGCGGTAAATCTAGAGAGCAGGTAAATATACTGAGACCTTTCTAGATGGACTAGTAGTACTGTAACGTCATTGCTGTTGTTTAAAATATCAGTCATTTGCAATCAATCAATGTGAAATTGGTTTGGTTGGAGTAGCGATTTGACAATGATTTGGTGTTGTAGTAAGCTGAAGGACAAGCTTCTGTGAAAGTTTATGGGAAAATTATAAAGCCCTTGATTTGCAGTTTTAAAATATCAAAATATGTGTTTTTAAAGAATATTGTTAATACTTCGCCGCGGTGTTTTGTTTTGCATTTCTACTTTTTCTCTGACTGATGATTACACTGATGTACATTTATATCAAACTGATATCTATTTGACAGGATCCTGGAATTATGTATGGAGTTTCCCAAAGGGCTTACTGATGCAATCATTCAGAACTCAATGCCACAGTTTGATGCACAACAAAGAGTAACGGCCATAAACAGACTGCTTTCCACTGTAAGTTTCCTTAAGACCAATTTATAAACTCAGAAGGGTACCTTAGTTATATAAGATTAACTCATCATTGGACTGATAATTTCTGGAAAATTTGTTCTATTTCCATTTTTACAGATAACCTACTGTACGTGTAGGACTCTTCTTCAGTATTATGATCAATGTAGCTGCAAATATATTATTTCAAAATACATTTTGATTGGTCTTCCATTTTATTCAGGGCCAGGTAGACCTACTGAAAAGCTCTACAGGCTTGGTTTATAAGCTAAAGGATTCAGCTGCAGTAAGGTATGGAATATAAAGAATATACAATGTACTAAACAATAATTTTTCAGGGCAGTGGAACTCAGCAAGTGATTTATTATAAGTAATGTGATTTATTCACAAGAGTACCAAAGAGATACTAAACATGTATATAATGTAGCTTTTTCAGTGTCAGAGAGATACATGGGTTTCTTATTTTAAAGCATATTTTACTTCAATATATGTGCCGTGAATATATATATATATATAATTTATATTAACCAAGCAGTTTGTATTTACTTTCAGCAAAGTAAAAGGATCAGATCATCAGGAGCGATTGGTATACCAAATTATTGAAGCAGCTGAAAACAAAGGTAAATATGAAAAAGTATTACATAGTATTTTTTATATGTCATGAATGATGCAACATTTCAACACTTCTCACATTAAAAATGTCTTGGCTACACTATCAGTTAAAATAAGTTTTTGTCTGCTTAGATACTCATTTAAAAATAATATACAAATGAAATTATTTGTCATATGTTTTAGGCATTTGGATTAGAGATATACGTTTCAAAAGTAACTTGCTACTCACCCAAGTCAACAAGATACTGAAGAATCTTGAAAGCAAGAAGCTCATCAAAGCTGTAAAATCTGTAGCAGTGAGTGAACTTTGTGCTCTACACATTACACATTCTGATCTATACAAAGTTACCTTTGTACTTATTTAAGTTGAAAACTAAATGTACCTCATAGATTTGTTTGAAAATATGTTGCAGAATTGTTTACAATAACTTTCTTAAATGCTTTGCAAGGCAAATAAAAAAGAATGAACAAATAAGGGATTTTCATAAATACACATGAAAATACCAATCTTGAATTGCATAATAAGTACTGTATGTTTAAAACTGCTTTTGGCATTGCATGGTCTTTTAAATCAGTGTTTGTGTTGTCAAAATTGTACTATTCTTTAAAATAAGGATATTTTTAGGTGACCAGATGATTTTGAATACCATGTTGCAGCATTCTGCATTTTGCCTTTCATCTTTTATCTTATAAAAACCTTTCTGTCAGTACATAATGGATATATTGTCACATATGCACACAAGGCATTATTTGTTTTTATGTATTCCTTTTTTTTCTATATTAGGCATCTAAAAAGAAAGTGTACATGTTGTACAATTTAGAGCCAGATAGAACAGTCACGGGGGGTGCCTGGTACAGTGATCAAGATTTTGAGTCGGAATTTGTAGAAGTTTTAAACCAACAGTGCTTTAAGTTCTTGGAGCAAAAGGTGTGTCAAGTTTCTGCTTTGCAGCTTAGTGCTATTAGTAAATTTCTGAAAATGATTTGAAATAAATTTGCTTACAAAGTAAAGAAATTTTGATCTACTGTCATTCGTTTTAATTAGTTTTATGCTATCTTTTTAAAGTAATGATACCTGAATTAAAATTCACATTTGCAACTTTTCACAATCTGATAATGAAAGTTGTGCTGTCAGACTGTATAGGCAATAAGTTACCACTGTAGCTCTTAGACAAAACATCCTTCACATTGATTTTCTATTTCTTTAGGCTGCTTTAGCAAGAGATTCTAAGGCAGATCCCATGGCACAGAAAAATGCTGCCTACACATCATCTAGTGATGTGTGGAAGTATATATCAGAGCTAGGAATAAGTAAGGTCAGAAAATTTTGAAATAATGCAAATTAGGATACCCAAGAGATATGATAATTAATCAGTATTTTGAACGTCACTTTCATGCATTCCAAACATTTTTCTTTATTATTTGATTTAGATCCTTGTAATTAAACAAACCAGGCTTCAGTGGAACTTACTTTTCAGAATTTTCTGATAAGGACTTAAAGGGATTTTAAACAAAACATTCTTCGGAGAATATGATTAATCAGTTTTTATCACATTTTTAAGTGAAAAGAAATCTATAACAATTTCTCAGTTAATCATGCTATGAGACAAATCAGTTTTTTTGTGAAACGTTTTTGTATTATAGGTACAACTCTCTATAGCTGATATAGAAACCATTTTAGACACCTTGATATACGATGGCAAGGTAGAGAGAACAGTTGTGGCCGCAGCAGCAGGTGGAGACGCTGATGCAGGTCAATTAAAGTTATACAGGGCCATCAGTCCTCTGATCCAACCCACAGGACTGATGAAGACGCCTTGTGGAGTTTGCCCTGTAAGTAACACACTTCCAGTTTGTTCAACTTGGCATGGAAATTACTTCAAGCTTACAAATCACAAATTATCAAGTTTTCTCAAGGTCAAACTTGGATTTTTTTTCAATCATTCGCAATAATGTTTAAAAGATTTTAACAGGAAAGAGTGCAGGGTCTTTAGCCGCTCACAAAGTTTGTCATGGAGAAGTTGTTTTTTAATTAATCACACCACACTTGGCAAATAGGTCTATCAGAGCACTTGCGTTAACAGAAGTAAACTAGTTGGCAAGTGCCATTAGTTTTTATTATATTGCATAATTTCCAAGCCTCACTATTTTTAAAGTCAGCATTTTCTTTTTCAAAATTAGTTGACAACAACACCTTTTTATCAATAATATTAAAGTAACTATTCAATCATGCCTTTAAAACGGTTCTCATCACATTGTAGGTTATAAAAGACTGTTATGAAGGAGGAGCTGTATCACCATCAACATGCATATATATGAAGGAATGGCTGGATTATTAAAACTTCATATTTAAACTTCATCAGTCTTCATCAGAGTTAAAGGGATAATAACTCTTCGTTTCGGTCAAAAAATGAATTTTCCTGGAGCAAACAACAATTTTCCCATACTTACCAATGGTTAATGAATCCATTTTTACATTCAAAGTTAGTCCCTGTTTTTTTTCTAAAAAGTTTGGTTTTTTGTTAAAATCTCTTAAGAGATTTTAACAGAGTATAGCCATCAATGGAGGTCACGTGGTCTAAAGACAAGCTCAGATATCAGAATAATATCTAAAACTGCCGTTTTTGTGATATAACAGAATATAATATATTTCTATGAGTTATTCACAATGTTTTTATTGTGAAATATAGATCTCATACGAAGAGTTATTATCCCTTTAAATCTAGAATTCTACACATCATCTGCAATCAAGTGGTGACACTGCACATTGAGAGGTTGCCAAAATCAACTTTCTACAAAGATAACACAATGACCAAACCTGTTAAGAAATAAAAAGGAAATGCAGGTCGTTTTAGTTTCTTGAATGTTTGTACTTTGTTCATTTAAGAGTTAAGCACTTTTGAAACTACAGCATGGCAATGTTTTCCTGATGAAACAAGTCACTTTTTTTCCAAAGCTACTGTGACTAGCATAAATGGGCCATAAAAGATTCTAACATCAATGTGCATATGAGTTCTCTATATGACTTTCTTTGTAATGTGATTTTGTAAAGCCTAGGTCCCAACTACGTTTTGGACGCACGGTTTTTAGGTTCCTTGCGTCCGGCTAGGACGTAGCTAGATCGCACGTAGCAGCTGTTGATCATGTCGAAAAGTTTCTACGTGCTGTTTGCGTCCTCCAAAAGTCGCACGATGGACGTGCTCCTCACGCACGAACTCCCACGTTTTCCCCATTTTTTGGCCGTAGACCACACGTAGCAGCCCGTACGTTCGGTTGGGACCTAGGCTTTACTTGATTCCTTCCCTGCGATCTAGCTACATGTACGTCCTAGACGGACGCAAGGAACCTAAAAACCGTGCGTCCAAAACGTAGTTGGGACCTAGGTTTAAGAGATTCAGCTGACTCAGTCATTATGTGGATTCCAAGACCAACTGAAAACTGCATGGGTATGCAGGTAATAAATAACCTTCAGTAGGATAACTTCGTTAAAACATTTCACAATGGACAAAAGTAGTTTAATTTATTCATGAAGCAACTTTTCATCATTTCATTATACATATTGGAGTATTTACAATTTTTATTTAAATAAATGATATCAGAATCATCTTTGTTTATTGATTAATGCTCAGTTTAGTTGCACTGTTAACAAACAAATAATGCAGCTGCAATGGATGAAAACCAAAGCCTGAGAGATTTTGGTATTTAACATCTTGGTTGGAATCATTTATTGCTTCCCTCTGATCTTTTTGTCAATAATTTCCGTGACTTGTAATTTGAAATTTCATTTCCAACTTTATTGTCCTGAATATTGCACTGACCTCTGCCTAATCACATAACCGGTTGCAAAGTAACCTGAAATACTAGAGATCCGTCCATTAAATAAGGGGAATTGCCAGATTCTAAATCAAACACAGATATCTGTTTATCAATTTCAGTATCTACAGTGTATCTGTTCTTAGAGAAATTCTTCTTTCCGGTAACTGTGCACAGAATCTGAGTATTGTTAACAACTGAGACCATGAACTCCACAGGTCTGGGCTGATCAAGTAACAAGTTGGAGTACAGAAGACAGCGAAAGTCATCACTTGTTTGAGAGAATCCTTTTGGATAGACTCTCAACTCCCAATCCCAGGTCTGTGTCGGAAATGACGAACTTCTAGTGGAAAACTTCAAACTGTGCTCAGAAAATTTTGGGCAAGATCCATAATTTTGTAGTTTTAGCCTCTTATCCCAACGCAGAGAGGTGTAATTTCGAAGTAAATAGTTGGAATTGGTGAACAGCTTGATATCTGCTCTTTTGCTGATAGAAAGAGCATGGTATCTGTATGCCTCAATGAACTTTTCTTGAAACAGTTCACCATAAGTTTCTGCTATTACATGTTTTTCAATAGAGTACAACTGGTCAGGGGTCATCATTGGGAATCTAACATACTGTAAAATCTCCTTCAGATAGTTCTCTCTTCTTTCTAACTTTTGAGGACTTTTCACCCAGGCGAGAACTGCTTGCCACACCTCATACTCATCCGTAACACAGAGATCTGAGCTTTTCAGAATTTCAATTAATTGGTTTTTGTCCAATTCCTCCCATTCACGTTGCCATTCCCCGGACAACATGATTTCACTCATCTCCTCTGACAAAGCCAAAATACAAGCAGACACCAGCTGCTTGTGGTCACATTTTGTAGCATACTGAAACCAGGTATGGAAAACTTGTTTCAGTTGCAACTTGGGGATTATGCTGCTGCATGCAAAACTTACGCACACATTTTTCAGATCTGCGACATTGTACTTGTCTGCTAAGACCAAGACGGGTAAACAGCTGTCCTTGCTGAGGATAATCTGGCAACCATAAAGGAATTTCAGGAATCTTGCAAAATATTCGATACAGGGCCCTTCTTCTACCAGTTCAACACACTGAAAATATTTTAAATGCACTGCTAAAAGTAAATTTCAATTCATTAAAATTACCCCATCACCATAACAAATTAACAATCCTATCATCTTAGAAGTTTTATTCTCATTTATTCTCAATCAAAAGAAAGTCCCATTATTGGTGGTTAAGTGTGAGAATTTGATCATTGATTTTTTATATGAGAACCTGGTACTACTACCTAACTTTGATTATTTTTTGTTTTATCAATTATCATACCTTTGAGTTTGCTTCACTCCAACCTGAGCTAAACATCCTCTCAAAGACATCACTGGTTTTGATCAGTATCAGTTTGTGGGCATAAAAGGTTTGCTCTCCGACCTAAATTAAAAACAAAAAATATCTAAATGAGTCTTTATTTATTTGTTGTAATAACTATTTACGTATTAGGAAGTATAAGTCAACAAAATTTGATTAGACCAATACTATAACCCTAAGAATGCACAGCTCTACTGTTAATCATCCTGTCATTACAAAGGTAAACCCCCCCCAAAACAAAAAGAACTCATAAAAAAATCAGAGTTGGCAAACACACACATCTACAGTGTATTTACCAAACTTACTTTCAAAATGACATCGCTCAAGATTTCACTGTTGAAAAACCTAGTTTGGTCAGCCAACGCCTTGCGTTCATTTCCATAACAGTATGTTCCTTCTGGACTCAAGGTGTAGGACGAACAGGAAGAGGTGCTAAGTTCTGGAAATGACGAGGTGTCCATTGCTGAAAATTCCCCAGCAGTGGGGTCCAGGGTAGAATCTACAAGTTGTAGATCTGATGGTGGGAGGCCCGCCATGGCTAACTAATGGGCTAACTTGTGAGGGTCAGTTGCAGGTGGACTCCTCTCCTAAAACTAATTATCTGCACTGAAGTACATGGACTTGTTAGACGCAGCCCATCTGAAAAGGAACATATCATCTAATAATAAATCATATATTATATACGATATATATTCGTATTCTAGCNATAGAGTACAACTGGTCAGGGGTCATCATTGGGAATCTAACATACTGTAAAATCTCCTTCAGATAGTTCTCTCTTCTTTCTAACTTTTGAGGACTTTTCACCCAGGCGAGAACTGCTTGCCACACCTCATACTCATCCGTAACACAGAGATCTGAGCTTTTCAGAATTTCAATTAATTGGTTTTTGTCCAATTCCTCCCATTCACGTTGCCATTCCCCGGACAACATGATTTCACTCATCTCCTCTGACAAAGCCAAAATACAAGCAGACACCAGCTGCTTGTGGTCACATTTTGTAGCATACTGAAACCAGGTATGGAAAACTTGTTTCAGTTGCAACTTGGGGATTATGCTGCTGCATGCAAAACTTACGCACACATTTTTCAGATCTGCGACATTGTACTTGTCTGCTAAGACCAAGACGGGTAAACAGCTGTCCTTGCTGAGGATAATCTGGCAACCATAAAGGAATTTCAGGAATCTTGCAAAATATTCGATACAGGGCCCTTCTTCTACCAGTTCAACACACTGAAAATATTTTAAATGCACTGCTAAAAGTAAATTTCAATTCATTAAAATTACCCCATCACCATAACAAATTAACAATCCTATCATCTTAGAAGTTTTATTCTCATTTATTCTCAATCAAAAGAAAGTCCCATTATTGGTGGTTAAGTGTGAGAATTTGATCATTGATTTTTTATATGAGAACCTGGTACTACTACCTAACTTTGATTATTTTTTGTTTTATCAATTATCATACCTTTGAGTTTGCTTCACTCCAACCTGAGCTAAACATCCTCTCAAAGACATCACTGGTTTTGATCAGTATCAGTTTGTGGGCATAAAAGGTTTGCTCTCCGACCTAAATTAAAAACAAAAAATATCTAAATGAGTCTTTATTTATTTGTTGTAATAACTATTTACGTATTAGGAAGTATAAGTCAACAAAATTTGATTAGACCAATACTATAACCCTAAGAATGCACAGCTCTACTGTTAATCATCCTGTCATTACAAAGGTAAACCCCCCCCAAAACAAAAAGAACTCATAAAAAAATCAGAGTTGGCAAACACACACATCTACAGTGTATTTACCAAACTTACTTTCAAAATGACATCGCTCAAGATTTCACTGTTGAAAAACCTAGTTTGGTCAGCCAACGCCTTGCGTTCATTTCCATAACAGTATGTTCCTTCTGGACTCAAGGTGTAGGACGAACAGGAAGAGGTGCTAAGTTCTGGAAATGACGAGGTGTCCATTGCTGAAAATTCCCCAGCAGTGGGGTCCAGGGTAGAATCTACAAGTTGTAGATCTGATGGTGGGAGGCCCGCCATGGCTAACTAATGGGCTAACTTGTGAGGGTCAGTTGCAGGTGGACTCCTCTCCTAAAACTAATTATCTGCACTGAAGTACATGGACTTGTTAGACGCAGCCCATCTGAAAAGGAACATATCATCTAATAATAAATCATATATTATATACGATATATATTCGTATTCTAGCTCAACAGTGACCATGTCTAAATTGTGTGGTTTAAAATCCTATTGGACAGCAACACATTATTGGACACTTATTATTAATTTCACATTGTTTTCCAAATGCAAACTTTACTTGCTGAGATCAAGTGAACATTGTATATATGATATTTTTTTCTGTCACAAAACACAATATTGTTTTTTAAATTTGATACATGGATAGTTATGGAAACGTAAATTGAGTGACATGAACACTGTATTGTTTTCACATAATTCTAAAATGATTTGGGGATGTCATGACATACTAGTAGATTTGTCACCAGGAAAACATATACCTGATATATTTATCCAAAGACTAGTTCTACAAGTCAAGACAGAAATTTACGCCAGGTACATACTGTACACCCAAATCTAATACAGAGAGATAGAGAGGTGCATTTTACATGCTCAGATGATGCTGAAGTGTCAAAAAATAAAATTCAATTTTTTAAACATATGTGTATAGAACAACGTATGTTCCGGGTCAAAGTTTGCTAACAGTCTGCTGACTCTTTTAGAGCAGCAGAGACTAACGTCCGCAGTCCCTCTCTTACCTTGCGATGTTAATCAGATTCAGATTCAGCTGCAATGATCTATCCCAATGTTAATGTTTTTCTTTTAGCGGAAGTAAACAGAGAGTATAAAACACGCGTAAAAAATCCCACTCTAATAGGTTTTAACTACCTTCTTTGCTATCTTATGTCGCTAAAACATGAAATTTTTTGTGTATGAGTATCGTTTATTGCGTGTTTTTGTTGGGGTACAATTAAATCACTATTGTTTGAAATTTTATCCATTGTCAAAAAGTACTTGAATTATTACAGGCGCGTCTAAGACTTTAGCCTAAGGTCAAGGTAGAAATAAGGTCATAAGCAGGGTGTTGGAAGTGTTCACGTACTTCTAATGTAAAGCACAAACATTGTATTTATCAATGTAAAGGCGAAACCATCTCTAGTAATGCATTTGGTAAGTTCTAGGTTACTTGCTCAACATTTCCGTACGTTGATCTTATTATATAGGTATGTTTATTGAAAGATTCCCGCTTCCCGATTTAAAAGTTTGTCACAGCAACCGAGACATGGGATGGGCTGAATATTATTTCTGTGCCACCCTCATGATGGTATAATATACAGTAATTTAATGACAAAATATCTCTGATGCCATGCACCTGGTGATGTCAACTTTCAAGGTACTGATTCATGAAAATAGAAATGGCAAAAAATAACAGTACATGTAGCATTGTGGATTTTTATAAAATATTGAGTCCTAGAAATTGAGTTGCAATGCCAGGACACTATTGTTAATGCGCGTTTAGAAGTATGGTGTTTATTTTACTACAGGCATTATGCCTTACCTAAGACATGTGTGTCACCTTCTTTGAAACTGATCCAAAATAGTTTATAATCTAAATGTACCCTGTATTTGCATTTTTTTTTTTTTTTTTTTGTCTGGAACCATATTAGATTTTTGCAATCCACTAGGTCAAGGATTGCCATGCTCTTGAGGGTGTGCCATGTTAGGTAAACAAATTCAAAGTCTTGCACAGTTTTCAAATTTGTTCTGATAGACACATACAGGTTTTTTTTTTTACATCCCATTACATTTACTGCTAAACAACACACTGGAATTTAAGTGGCAACCTTGCTCGGAAAGAAACCAACTACTAAACTTCAATCTATACATAATGGAGGTGTTTGTCGGTTTTGGTTACCAATTTAATTGTTATTTTCAGGCTAAGAGATGGCAGTAGACAACAAAATTTGAAAAGATGATATAGAAATGATTAATGAAACAATTGAAGAAAAATTTGTCTATATATCTTCAGTGGAATATTTTGTGCCAATCGGCTTTAGGTTCACTTACTAGTAAAGGTGGAGGTCCCAGTAAAACTGATTGCTTAAATACAATTTGCTACCTTGTTTTTTTTTTCTGAAATACTTTAATTGTTGGACATATATAAGCCTTGTTTTTTTTCTTAAATACCTTAATTGTTGGACATATATAAGCCTTATAACTGAAGTTGAATTTATTTTCTTTTTTGAAGTTAAAATCTTCTCTTTTCCAGACATCAAGAAAAAAGGATTAGATTATGAATGAGAAATGACAGAAGTCTTACAGAAGGAATACCATATGTGACAGAGAAACATGCATAGAAAAAGGAACATTTCCTGCATAGTCAAATAAACCCAATGGACATTCACATTTGCTGCAAGTACAATGTAATTTAAGTCACATTTTAAAGATGCAATATTTATGATGATTGCAAAGTGCCACTGGGCATGAATTCAAGTGTGAGATCGCATTCAGGTGCATATGATGTTACTCCAACTGCAGGTTCGGCAACCAGTACACTGTGTCAAATGTTTGAAAGATTATTCAGTCGTGGAAGTCAGCGACACCATCACAGGCATAACTCAAATAGGAGGACACTTTCCTCTACATCTAGTGCAGGCGATGATGCATTGGGACCCCATTCTTCAGCAGAGCATGGGGGGTCTGAGACACACCCCCAGGAGGAGGTGATCCCAGGGGTGGCTCACCAAGTTGAGCAAAATACTGGTCTCTGTGCTCATCACTGTACATGTCTTAACTCCAATTCTTATGGTCCTGGCAAGGAGGCATTCAGGAGAGGAATTATACTGCTGATCATAGCCATCATCTTATTTGCCACTGGGGCAATTCTCACAGGACTAGGTTGGACTTTGTATCTGTTACTTTTTGACTTATGTTTTCAAGATTGTGTGTACAATTTAGTCTAGTGTGAAAAAATAATTTAAGAAGTAATTGATAACTGCACAAAATGTAACATGAAAGGAAATACCAAAACAAAGCAGGTTACAAGTGTGCCACTTGTTTAATGAAAATTTGAATGCTGACGTTTAGACATGTTTAGACATTCCTTATAATAACAGTCCTGAGTTTAAATTGAGTTATGCTTACTGATGATTCTGGCTCTTTATTGTGAAACTTTGTTGTAAATTATTTTTCAGGTTATTGGAATTTGATAGAAGGCACACCCACTATAATAGGACCAATAGCTATTGGTTTTTCCATGATAATAATTCTTGTTGCTGCTAGATTTTACTCCCTGGCAAAAAGATTACGTTATGAAGCTCAGCACCATCCTCAAGTAAGTAAAAGTTAACTTTTAACCCCATTTCCCTTCATTTTTCAGGTCAGTCTATGCTTGGAGCAGGGTTTGTCCAACTGACAGGACCACTGTTTATTGGCATAGCTCTCTTACTTGTCCTTGTGGCTGCTGGTTATATAACTATTGCAAAGAGATTAAGACAAGAATATACTAATAGACGGCATAGGGTGAGTCTGTAGATCCTTGCTTATATTGCTTCCAGACCAAGCCAAGCTTTTGTAACGTAATGGGAGATGAAGAGGGGTAAATTAACCTTGTCCAGGTTGAAAAAAGGGCTTTGTTTATTTTCTCTCTTACTTCTCCTAGTTATTTTACTTTTAAAGACACATTTGACTCTTGTATGATGTGTTTTGCTTCCTGCCATTTCAATTTCGCACGCATGTCTTTTTTTAGAATTATGCACTGCTAAATCCAATCAGTGTTTCTTTGCTCAGTTGAGGTTTTTGTTTGTAAGATGTCTTTATGTGATGGTCTGTGCCTGGATTTTAACTAATGTTTGAACTTTGTTGCCTCAATGCATTCTTACCAATTATGATTTATTTATTGATTTCATTTCATCATTTTTTAATGTCAAACATTTTTTCTTTCTTTTTTTTTTAAATTGAGGAAATTCTTGATTCCACATGTATCTTATTAATCTTGCACAGTCAACTAACATTATAGAGCTTACTAATTTTTTTCCTAAGTATTTTATTTTGGGTAGTAAATTAGCATTTAAATGATCAACAATAAATTTCTTTTGATTTGAACTAAAAATGTGAATTTAACTAAAATAGATACAGATACATAATTGATTAAAGCATTATTCTAGAGACAGGATTCTTTACCTTATTAGGAGTTTTATTTTCAGACTGTCATTATGTTTGTAAATTACAGATGCAGTTACACCCTGATGAATTTGATGAAGTTGATTATGATGATCCCGACTCCGCCACCAGGTAAGGATAAAATTAACCATTTTATACTCAACTAAAAGAATCTTTAATATTCAAGTGCCCATTCATGAACAGTAACTAGTGTTCATTAGGCCCTTTTTACATCATGTGATGGTACTGTTTTCCGTTTCAAACCATTTTGAGTAACTGGCAACTTAACAGCTTGGATGTTATAAAGAGAGTCATCTAAATAGAACCCCCTGCTCAATATTGCTAGTTTACCAGATAAATTTTGATTGTTCCAACCAAAAATCCCATAGTATGATTATATGGGAAGACAGATTAAAACAGTGCAAAGAAGGGAAAGTGTACCACATGAAGTGAAAAGGCCTTTATCAGAAAGTTAGCTAGTTTAATGCAATAAATAAATAAATAAAACTGCAATAATAAAGTGAAATTCAAGTTGATCTAATTAACATAGTTCTACGTCTACATTTCACCATTTTTATCTATACTGAAGAAAGATCAGCTCACATGGTACTCCAAAGCTAAAATTCAAATAGTTGTGTGCCAGTGAAGTTAAAAGATATTATCCAAAAGATAAACACATCTTAGGGTCATGCTTTTAACAATCTGTATAAGTTATAGATATATATTTGTATTGAAATAATTAGTTGCTAGATAAATTGAGAAGTTTATCATGATAAAATGGTAATTTCAGAGACCCATCCATTCCACCAAGTGCTAATATTCTTCCACCCACATACAGTGATGCTATTCTAGAGGACCATTTTTCAACAGTTACCCCAACCACAGAACAGGCAGGTAATTCCGGTGACGTGACACAATTGAACAATAATCAAGTGGTGTCCACTGGGAGAAGTGTTGTGTTTGCCCTAGACTCTGAAGGATCTGCATCTCAGGATGAGAATTCAAATGTTTCCTCTTACAATGGAGCAGAAGACGAGTCTGTTGTTGACGTGTTGCCTGGAATCAATGAGAACGAGGAAATGCAGACGTTACCCCCTACATACACTGAAGTATTGCTAGGAACTCCTGAAGGGGAAAATATGAATGCTGAATTTAGTCAACATGGTTAGCTTAGTCATCTAAATAGACTTTTCATCATGATGTACAAATATAACAGCGATTTTAAACTATCCATGTAAATGAATTATAAAGGAAAGAAGGCCCTCTGAAAATGAAAAATAAGTAGATGGTCATGTCTGAAAGAGGAAACAAAAAAATTTCTGCTCTCAAGTACCATTATGTTTTAAGGTGCACATCTAAAAAAAAATTAGATTCTAAAATGAGTGCCATTGTGTATAAAGTTTAGAATATCTAAGATCGCATTCACAACGAGTTGAGCCAGGCTTTACAAATCCTGGGGACTAAATATGGTGGACATACATGAAAGAAAAACCGCCTAATCTTTTTATAGTCTCTCCGCCTCTCACACTCCTCCCTATGTGTCGTCCCAATGGAGCTGAAATTTAATGACTGTACCCCCGCAGGGAGAGGCGTGTGAGAGGCGGAGAGACTATTAAAAGATTAGGCGGTGTTTCTTTCATGTACGTCCGCCATATTTAGTCCCCAGGATTTGTAAAGCCTAGCTCAACTCGTTGTGAATGTGGTCTAAGAAGTTTGACTAAAGTATTGTATTAGAATAAAGTGGGAGTATTGATGTTTAATTTTTTTAGGCAGTGTCAGAAATACATGTACATTTTGTAGGTTTTCATGTCACTTAATGTTATGTCATGTTATGTCTTGCTTTTAAATAAGATTGAGAACTGCAATTTGAGTTCAAGGAGTTTAATCTGGTGCTTTCTTGCTGAGGTCCTGCTATCGCAAATTGTGGCCTTACTTTTCTATGGGGATAGTAATTGTTGCATTTTCATGTACCTCTTGTATATTTGAGAAAGTAAAATGCAACTCCCGGATGTATTGGATGTTTGTTTATATGTCAGGTTATTAATTGAAATTGATTTAAATGTTTTACTTAGGAATGAAATATGAATTTAAGTTCTAAGTACCACATGGGTTGATCTTTTTTCAGTATAGATGAGAATTGTAAAAAAAATGTAGATATTTTTAGAATATTTTGAGATTTATATCTATTGAATTCATTATTTATTAATCTAAAGAGGTGGTTTGCATTTAGAGAATAGTTTGATGGATTGTCTATATGATAAATTATTTAAAATCTATTCAGATGTGTTAGTCTCATTCAGCATGGAAATGATTTGACTGCCGTTGGTTAATACTAATTGTATTTATTAGAATTAATCTCTTTTACTGCAGTTTATTATGTCCAGGTCTTCAGTTTATTACAAAAATTACAAATAATAAAAATCTAAATGAGTTCGAGTATGAGAAAATTATGACTGAAATGCTTTCTTATTAGGTTTTGGTAACTGAGGTCAATAACTTTGATATATTTTGTAAAGTTTTAATGTTACAATTATGCCTTAACTTTTTTTATGATTACATGTTTTTCTACCTTTTGCATGCATTTAGATTTATTAAGTGAAATGAAATATTGCTCTTTTTGTCTTGTTTACTTGATAATGCTTTCATTATACGTACCTCTTAAAGTGTTGTATGAAATAAATGTTCCCAAACATTTTTTTTCCCGGTTGAGTAACCAGTTACAGTTTGGCAGGGAAGGGGGCAATGTTGTATATTCTGAAACTTTCACTTCTTTTTGCAGATACTACAGTATTTTTCATAAATGTATTTTACTTAACCTGTTTGCTGATGAGTAACACTATTATTACTTTTGATTAGTAGATATGCCAACTGTCAGAAAGTGATACTTGCTAATAAAACAATGCAAAATTCAATGCAGAAAATAGTGTTACAGAGAAGGACAGTTAGAATGCTATGATAATGACTGATCTTTTCAAGGGGGAAAATCATCAGTCTTTTAGATATTTAAATTTGGAATCATTAAAAATAATATTTTTGTATAGCATTTGTGGTGTTTATACTGTATAGAATAATGACTGAAAAATTAAATATATGTAAAATTCACTATTTTCCCCATTGAACAGATCGAATCATTACTTGTAGCTGTATGTAAAGTGAAGGTCAGTGAGACTGACAGGATTTTAAATCCACTACTGAACTACTTCCACAAATATTGTTCTCAGTTTCAGAGACCTGATATTGATTTTTAAACTCAAGTTTTGGCATCCAATGGTGATGCGAGACCACAGATATCTTGTAGGGTCCACAGTTGAGATCATATTCAGTAACTGAACTTGCTTAAGCACACTTTTCTGTATGTGATACAGGATAATGAATCAGATGAACAACTTTGCACCTATGATTACGACCTGGGGGCTTTTGAATAAATAATGTTAATTCAATCAAAGTACAGTAATTGCTTTCACTGTGAAGTGACCAGATATTTTTCATATCTTATGCATTGAAAGTTAATAATAAATGATGCCTTGACTACTGATGGATTTTTGTTTACCTGTAGTTGTCATTGTTGAAACATATTTCTGAGACAGATTGTACGTGGTAGTAAAGGTAAGTTCCTCTGATTAACTTTTTTATACCGCTAACTTTGAAAGGCTTTGTGAAAAAGTTTCAGTAAGCCATTCAGTATGACATTTGGAAAGTATTTCTTGATGCTGCTAAAATTTTCTGATGTATATCATTTTGCATAGAGCATGATGGAAATTTATGCTGCAGTGTCTTATTTGATAGTGTCTTTGAGTGATGAAGTTGTAAAACAAAAATAATCTTTTTTTTTTATGCAAAATGTAATGTTTTTTACCAAGGCAAATATACCTGCGAGTACAATGGCATGTCTGCGGTCAATTTCACCACTGTCAGACACCTCTGATAATTCCATAGTAGAAAATATAGATGATGACAAAGATCTGAGTAATTCAGATTGGTTGGGTAGGTTCTGCTTATAACTTTTTATTATGAAAAATCTTCCCTTAACTGTTTTGTTCTTCCAAAGGTTCAGACCCAGTGCAGGGGAGCATATAAAGATTTAAGTGTTCTTGTTTAAAAAATGTTTAAAATAATAGACCTTAAATTATCTACTATTTTGGACAATTAAGGAGTTTTAAAAATGTGTGTGATCGTGACTAATGGAAAAATATGAAAATTGTTTATTCTGCAACAGGGTATCAACAAAAAAGAACTGTGTCCATTTGAGAAAGATGCTGGAAGTTACATAGAATCCAAAATAACCTAAAATATCTCTAATTTTAAAAAAATGTGTATATTGAACACTGATGTATTGCTATTAAATCATTTTCATGTTTACTTTTGAGGAAAAAAAAAGTTTCATTGACTTTGATTAATCATCTTATTTTTTCAGGATATATACATGATAAAAGTTCCATCAATTTCAATGACCCATATGTGAAAATCTACGTTCAGTCTTGTGAAGAATTGCAAGTAGCAGCCATGACTCCAATACTTAGTATGCTGAGTACAGCAGAGGTGAAAATAAGACACAGGGGAATTCTACCTCTGGGAGCTGCAGCTCTTGCCAAAGCTCTAAAGGTAGGTATAGTTATCTTCATTGGTACTGAAAATTCACCCCATCATAAAGGAGTCTTGCACGTTATTCAGAGATGTTCCTGTATTTGAAATTAGGAACAATTCAAATTTTCATTACCTGGAAAATAACTATGATAGGTACTTCAATGTTCTGTCAAAAAGTTACATGAAACAATTTAATATAGTGCCTTTTATTTATGTATCTCTCATTTATTTAGGACAATCCAAATGTAGAGGTTTTAGACCTGGAAGACAACAGCATCAAGGAAGAAGGTGCAAACCATATTACTGAGATGTTATTAGAAAATGATACTATCACATATCTGGTAAGTTTTTAGGTGCGACTTGTGCTGTTATACTTGGTAGAATGTATTTGTTCTTCCTTGTTCTGCAGTGCTGGTGCATTTGTGAAGTCCCTCTGGGTGTATGGCACAAAGAAATATAAATTGTTACATAGCATTGTCTTGGGCATTACACAGTCATATACTTTGCAAATGAAAAATTGCACCATATGACTATAAGCATGTGTGGGAAATTTTATTGTGGAGCTCTCTCTCTCTCTCTTCTTATTATCTTTAAACCGCTGAGAAAAAAGAGGGAATTATACACATTTAGATTGCCATATGTTTGTATTATTCCAATATTGTTTTCAGAACATAAGTCAGAATTTCATTACTGCCAGTGGGTTTGCTGCACTAGGTCAGATGCTTGGGATGAATATGACCCTGAGGCACTTGGATCTCTCAGGTAAAAACTTAGAAGATTGGACTGTAATATTATATTTTTGAAGTTGAAAAATGCAAGTTATTGTCTTCAAGTCAAAATTTTGTTTTTGCAAAAAGTATTTACAACTGATAATGCTTTAATTCATTATTGATACCTTTTTGCTCTAAACCTGTGCATTTTTATTTTTAGGGAATAAAATGGAAATTTTTGATGTCAAGACTTTATGTGAAGGAATTCAGGTAAATCAGAATGATAGGTATATAATTATTATGTCTATGTGTCTCCATGTATGCATGTCTATTTTTTCATTTTGGAGGTGCTGCTTAATGAAAATGTGATACATTTCCTAATGATAGTCCATTTTAGTAAAAGTTTGATACAATCTTAGTTTGAGATAAATTACAGCATGTTCATCTACTTCAGGAGAGCTCCCTATTGACCTTGTGCATGAATGGTTGCCAGATAGTTGAGGAAGCTGCCCATGTCCTTGGAAAAGCTATTGGTATCAAATTTTATATTCACTCTGTCTTTTTATTTTTTCCTGAATGGAGGAGACATCGAGTAGTTGTGCTTTTTATATTATATTACGTAGCAAAGAAATTGGGTAAAAGATAATTTTTTTTTTAAATATTAGCATCTCTCTTGAAGTTAATTGTCTGTTTTAATGTGTGGTTTCCAATCTTTATTGTTACAGAACAACACAGAAGACTTCAGCACCTGGAGTTGTCATTTAATTGTATCAGAAAGAAAGGAGCAGTGGCTATATGCAAGGGAGCTAAGGTGAGATTTGATAAAAGTTGCTGTTTCAGTAAACTGAAAGTAATCAGAAGGGGAATTATCTGAAGTTCCTATTATTATTATACTAGAATACAGAAAGCAGTGATTATGACAAGATATTGCATTGCTGTAACTGCATTGATTTGAGATTGTTAAATAGACATTATTTGACATGATAAATCTGTAAATCACACATTAATGATTGTTGGATGTTTCAAAGCAAAGTCGTCATTACTGCACACCATGATCTTCACCTTACTTATTAATGAAATTAGTAGAGTTTCCAATCATGAAGTTCGACGTATTTCAGGCTTTAATTTAGATTAACTTTTTTATACCATAATTGCTAGTGTCAGAGAAACATTTGCCTCGTTAATTTGTGAAATGGTAGAAGCTTTCTGAATTCCAGTTTTGTCATATTACAGGAATGCCACACGCTGAAACACCTCGATGTATCTTGGAATGGGTTTGGATTTGAAGGCAGTATTGCTGTCTGTGACATGCTAAAGGGAGACGTGCATCTTGAGTTCCTAAATCTTGCTGGGAACAGGATTGATTGGACCTGTGTTCCACCCATTGCAAAAGGGATCTGTTTAAACAGCTGTTTAAAAAAACTTCTGGTATTCACTATATTTTTTTTCTTTGTTAACAATAATACAGTCTTGTTCACAATAAGTAACGTACTAGTTGACATACATGTACGACACGCACACTATTGAGCTGTTTTCATTGCCTTATAAATTGCATTATATAATTATGAAAATCAACAATTGAAATTTAGATTCAACAACTCCATTTAACTTTTCATTCTGGTGATTTGTAAAAAGGTTCAAAATATATATTGTATGCAAAAACATGTGAACCAGTGCTTTATTTTTTGATGATGTCTAGATTGGACAGAATCCTCTGACCAAGGACGGAGTCATGGGACTGCTCAAGGCTGCAGGAGTTAAAACCAACCGTTTGGAGCATTTGGGATTAGAGGTATGATATGATGTAAAGGTGTTGACTTTATGTTTGCACACTTGGTATTACATGTACTAATTATTGCCTGTTCCAGTTTATTTTTGGAATATATATTACAAGGCACAGCTGTCTTCCAGCCTGAAGACTGGGAGATATCCCGAAACTGTAATCTGGTACATGTAAAACTTTATTTTGACACTCATCTGGTAACATTGTGATTTTTATCATTTTAACAATAAAATGTGTCTTAAAGGGATACTTATGATGTATTTCTCTCATTATCCTCTCAGGCTGTTCCAGTAAACACTGATATTATTAACAGTGTGAAAAGAATGCAAAAGACGAGAACTTTCACTTTCACACATGGAGGACTCTTCAATTCTGATGACATGATTGGTGTTAAAAGAAGTGGGTGCAGGTTTCCCTTATATTTCTATTCATTTTATTAAATGTTTAATCAGATGACTTTATCTCATTTATAGACATTCCTGATAAAGAATTTTCCACTGAGAAGGGATAGAGGGTTCAATTTACTGTATAGATGTATCAACCCATGTATCTCTTTACTTTCATCCAATTCATAATATTAATCATTGGTCTGAAGGAATTCACTAGCATATTTTATATCAGACTAGTAAAAACACCATTTGTTAAATCGCCTGTTAAGTTGGAACATTGGAAATTTTCACAGTTGTTTGATTTTTCCTCAGGCAAATAAATTTTGATTTGTTTTCCTTTCTTCATTGTTTTATCAAATTTCTATTGGACCATTACAGAGAGCAAAGAAGACCCCCTAAGCATACTGACCAGATACTTGGGAGGGAGAGGGATCCGTGTGATGGATTTGTTTCGCACTTTTAACAAGGACAGTGAACAACGGATTTCTCGGGCCAGTTTTATTCATGGACTAAGGGTATATTATAATACTGCAGCTTTTTAGAAAAGTCTGTCTTTTTAATATTGTTGAATGGCTGCAACTGCATAATTTTTATTACTAAAGACTCTGTTATAAATTCGAAAAAAAAAATGTATTTCTTTAAGACAATCTGTTTGAATAAACATACATATTTTCATATACAAAAGTTCATACTTATTGGCAGTATATACTGTAAATCTATTGATTTCCTTCACATTCTTATCAGAAAGTTCATGTTCCTCTTGAGGAATGGGAAATGCATCAGTTGGCTGACAAAATGGAGGAAGGACATAAAGGACGGATCAACTTCAGGTCAGTCATACATTTGTAATACACCCCGAGTTTTAGAGATTAAAGGAAACTTGACTATATTAGAAACAACTCTGGTCTAAACATGTTGCTGCTGTTGCTCCCATTCCACCCATGGGTGAAGGACGATGATGATTATATTATCCAAATGCCTGCTAATAATAGAAGTTAGTTTCTAGTAATCACTGGAACTCTTGCTGGTCAAATATGAAAAGAAGCAAACCATGAGTTGTCTATTTGTGGTACAAAAATGTACTGTATGCTGAACATATATAAAAAACACTTATTGTTTTATACCTTTTATGATATTTTGTGAATATTAGAATTTTACATAGTAGATAAAGTATAAACAATATAAAATTGGGCCATATTAATAAAAATTAAAGTTGCAACCTCCTGGCACTTGATTAAAATTGGGTAATTCTCAAAAAAATTTCTAAAAATTCTGTATGCTATTTACTTGATGTAGTACCTATTTTGCTTGCAGATATCTCAACGTCTGTGTGCGCTTACAAGCTAGAAAAATAAGGCTCATTGAGATGGCAGAATCAGCAAAAAAGAAGCAGAGAACAAAAAGAAATAAATCTATCATGGCATTACCCCCAATCACAGAGCCAAATCAACAAGCTGAAAGCATTTCCCTTTTGACCAGTCAAGTAAGTTTAGATTCCATCATGGCTTGTGATAAATCCTCTCTGGTGGGGTGCAATCCACAAAATGTTCAACAAGATACCAAACATCTGCCTTCTCCCTCTCAGTCAATGTCAATGGCACAGAAAGGCAAACAAAAAACTGTATATAACCTTGTTGATATGACAAAACCATTAGCAAATAAACCATGTGATACACAGAGAGCTGCCAACAGAAAGAAACAAGACAAGAGATGTAAGACAGCATCTGCTCCAATGGGTAGTTCATTGACCAGAACTACCCGAAGAAATGAATCAACATCATACATGGAGCTTCTGAGTGATTTGAGTATATAATCGACTGCCAGGATTGAGCTCTGTGCAAAACTAGGCTACTTAGAACTCCAATAGTCCACCTGCTGTTTTCTCTCAGACAGAGATCAGGTGGTTTATGGTGTAGTTTTTGTGCAAAAATCAACGCTGGACAGAACAGAAATGTGCACAGCTAGTGAAGAACCTGAGAAATATCTATCTAGTGGAAGAAAAATTGTTCCCATGACCCTGATAGAAGGTAACTAATTGGTGGTGCCACATTGCTTAATTGTAATGGAATTTAATAGCTTATGGGAACCTTATATGGGTCCATATATGTATTTTGGTTATCTGATGATGAAGCAGTTTCCAGACAAGTAAAACTGCTATTGTATATGCTAATCGGATGTGATTTTGACCATTTATTAAAATGACATATACTAAGTGTTAATGACAAAACAGTTATACTATGTTATGTTCATTGTAACAGTAGTATATCATAAAGCAAAGGTGATTGTGCTGTTAATGTTACTTTTTGTAATATCACATCAAATTTATTTTAAAAATTGTACATTGTCATTGTTTACTGTATATAGTTCATTGAAAACCAGCCTGATTGGATTTCATCTTCTTGATGCTTTCCTCCTTTAGTTTCTTTAAATTTGCTTTATACTAAATGCTGTTTGCAGCATAACATAAATGAGTTTTAGGTTTAAATTTTGTTCTTGTAAAATAGACAATTCTCATTCTCAATAAATTGTAAGGCTAATAAAATTCATTCTGCATGTCATTGTGTATTTGTTAGATTTGTTCTCAGTCCCATTCTACCAACATGAAAGGTGGGGCAAGTCCATTCAATTTTAGGATGTGTCAGAAGGGAAAGCTTTACTCCATTTAGCAGGTAACAGGTCGAGTAGAGTCCACTCTACTTTAAGGGTACAAAAGGAGAGGTTCATTCTATTGAAGGGGTGTCAGGTAGCGGGTACCCACTCCATTTGAGGGAAGACAGGTGGGGCAAGTTCATGCAATGTGAGGGGTGACAGGTTGGGAGAGACCACTTCATTTGAGGGGTGACAGGTAGGGAAAGTCCACTGTATTTGAGGGGTGACAGCTGGGGTGAGTCTACTACAGAATAGGGGTGATGATTGGGGTGTTTATTTCATCTGAGGGGTGATGGGTGGGGAAAGCCCATTCCATTTGAGGGGTGACAGGTGGGGAGAGTCCACTCAGCTCTAGGGGTGTCAGGTGCAGTTAATCAATTCTGTTTGACGGGCGACAGGTGGGAAGAGTGCATTTAGTTTGAGGGGTGCCAGGTGGAGAAAGTGCACCCACTTTGAGGGATGACAGGTGGGGCGAGTTAATTCCAGTGTAGAATTTTTCCACTTTGTTTAAATTTGAAATTATGAAGAGTAAGGCATTGCAAAAGCCAGGACCTGTCAAAGAAGGACCTTTACTATCGTTATTAAGGACACTGAGGAAAATGTCTTAAAGAAGGAACATCTTTTCTCCAGAGGATATGAAAACTTGCTATAGAACAAAATTCAGAACAAAAAGGCAGGACTTGAAAATATAAATTGAATTTATAAATATGTATTGTTGGAAAATGTTTCAAATATTTTCTTTGCAAAAGCCAGGACCTGTCAAAGAAGGACCTTTACTATCGTTATTAAGGACACTGAGGAAAATGTCTTAAAGAAGGAACATCTTTTCTCCAGAGGATATGAAAACTTGCTATAGAACAAAATTCAGAACAAAAAAGCAGGACTTGAAAATATAAATTGAATTTATAAATATGTATTGTTGGAAAATGTTTCAAATATTTTCTTTCATTCGTTTAGGACATCAGAATTGCTGAACTTCCATAATTTACGAAATATTGGGCCTATCTGCAAAGCTTTTACAGATCAGATTTAGCAGATTGAATTTGAAAGTGAGACAGAATCACAAAAAATGTTTATTCAGTTTAAATATAATAGATGCATGATTGAGTGAAGGACTCCTGAATGTGAAACAAAGACTACATTGCTTGCTTGCGGTATCTTGGTGGGCTTCTGAAATGAAAAAGAAAAGATTGTTTACTATTTATGACAATTTTTTTAATAAAAGGTTTTTAATAACAGGCAGGTTTTTGAAATAACACAAATGCATGTGATATCACAGAGGAGAGGGGAACTTATAACTGATATGACGTGCTTGTTTCTTTGTGTGTGTGTGTGTGTATAAAGTTCAGGCTTAGCTAGCACCAAAAATTGAAGGCTGAAATCGAGGGCAAAAATTATGATCTGGAATAAGCTTAAAGGTACTTGAGATATATTGCTTAAAAAGTATTTGTAAACACAACCTCTTTCATTTGCAGAAGATATTACTATGTATGGCACTAAACAATAGAATTTTATACATCACACGTTTGGGGGAGTAACGCTGTTTTGTACATCATTTTGACGTATTTCGGAGAAGCACAAAAAATGCTTATTCACAAACTTTCTTTAAAGAATACATTAAAAATATTGCACATAATTTGGGTGTAAGAACAATTGAGTTTTAATGTAGCTGATTGATTAAAGGATGAATGACATACAGGTACAACACACAGGAGACAACAGACAGCAGGTGTTAAATTTTTATCTATTAATCGTAATGAAATGAGCAATTGATGTGCCCCTGTGCATGTGTTGTACATGTATTTAATAAACCATACTTACCCTATAAAAAGATCTTTGAGAGTCTTATGCAAAAATGGATTGTCCAACTATCCTCTGAAGCAAATATGTGAACTGTTATAGCTACCAGTATTATGTGCCCTTTTTCCTGTATAGTAAGAGTAATATTCATGAAAATATTTTAATATACAAAATCGTGCTTTGCAAAGGTCTCAGTGCTGCTTACATACAATATTTACATATATAACAATATGTATAACATTATAACAATTAGAATTTTCAGACTGAATTTAAAACCGCTAAAAAGGAATGAAACGTAAAAAAGACCAAATTAACAAAAAGATTATTTAGTTTAAAGGATTTCAAGTTTTACTTAAAATTAAAATTATAGTCATCAAGACGTCAATATGTTTGAATCGTTGACCATAGGATTTGACCATCAAATTGATGATAGGACACACTTCCAGTTCCCTTGGATCAGAAGCTCAGAACTGTGACAAGTATAATTATCTAAATTAGTAACTCTTCTTTTTTGTAATGTTTACATTTACATAAAAACAATATTTTTTAATTTAGTCTCACATGCATTTTTAATTGCCCAGGGCCATACAAAAATGTTCATACAAAACTTTAAAGAAAAGGGCTAAGATAATCATTTCTTCTGTAAGTTTGCAGTCCAAAAGCATTGTAAAACTTTTCAAAACCAACATATTCTAATATTCTGAGCGACATACAAGTAACGATAGGCAAAATAGTAAAATAATATTAAATGTTATAAATATTTGACGTAATTTTTTTTTTCATTCGTCTGGGCCTTTAATAGCTTATTCAATGGGTACGTACGGATAAAATTTAGTCCCAAAATATTACATGTCCCTATACTCCCGTTACCGATAGATACATAAAGGAAAAACTGAAAAAACGTCTTTTTAGATTTAAATACCGATAGATCCGATTTTTTACTGCTGTCCTATATATTTGCGTTCCTATAGTTACGACGTCCTCATAAACCCACGGCCTTTAAATCCGCATACCTAATAGATCCACGTATTTTGAGATCCAAAAACCATTACAGGTATGCTTTTGCTCAAAATGGTTGGTATAGGCCTACTACTCAGTGCATAAAATGCACTTCTTTAAAACGACAGTACACATATTAATCATTTTAGCAATTTATATTCTACTAGATCGTTTTCACACAATACTCAGTGAAAGAACATAAAAAGAACATCAAAAATGTGTTCTATATATTTCACAACGCTTACTGTTCTAGCGTCAGAACACTGTTAAAAGCGTTCTCAAAATGTAACATTTGAACACGTAAAAAGTGTTCTGAATTTACATGTAAATGTGTTCTAAACAAAAAAAAAAAAAAAAAAATGTGTTCTATATTTCACAACGCTTAGTGTTCTGGCGCAGAACACTGTTTTTAAAAGCGTTCTCAAAATGTAACATTTGCACACTTAAAATGTGTTCTGTTTCATGTTTGCGACGCGTTCCCGAACTTTAGAGTGTGATAGACGTGTAGACGCGAACGTACATTGTACATGTATGTCTTGTTTGAAAACCTAATAAATATATAAATACATAAAAAATGAATAAATAATAAATATAAGGTTGTAATTAAGTCAGATCACTAAGTGGATCAGTATGTATGTATTCGCAGCCAGACTATCACTCGAAAGCCTCATACCTGTATCACAAGTTGATATCGGCCTTAGCCGAGTACGATGTCAGATAGATGGATCTAGCGGTACCTGGATCTTGTGTTAAGTCATTAAACTAATAAAATGTTACCTGGCCTTTAACATTTGCATGTTAAATAACCCTAAAAAAGTCAAGACTTTCTGTGACCTTGAGGTCAGGGCCTTATTGTTTTTGCGGGAAATAAAAATGTCATAAGTCTTACTTTAAACTTGCTCTATAAATTTGGAAGATAAATGTGTTCAGGAAAAAGAAAACAATTGGATTGGATTTATGTATCATTATTATTCTATTTGTTTATTTATCTAAAGTGTATTTGTTTTTTCATTATTGTTATTTATTCTTTTTTTTTTTATTGTGAGAGATGCTATCTTTTCGTGATTTATATATTTTGCAGTTCAGCAATTAATATTTCATTCATTTCCTCTTTTTGTCTGCTTCATGTATACACCTTTTTAAAAAAATATCTGAAACCCTTTAAAACATTTTACGACAGCTTTTTTTTTTTTTTTTTTTTTTTTTTTTTTTTTTTTTTTTGGGGGGGGGGGGGGGGGGGGGGGGGGNTGAGAAACAGACTTAATTTGATAGTGGACAACGTATCGTTCTAGCTGGAAATAGTTGTGCACTAGTATTCCTATGGCTGTTTCTATGGCAAATGACAGCCATCTTGGATTTTTTCAAAAAGTCCAAGGGAACTTGTTTGCTATCTGACATATATGAATAAAATGGGTAATAAGGGTGTGGAAAACTCTGAGAAAATAATTTATTTGATAAAAATCAACATAGGTATGTACATATTTCTAAAGAATTCAATAAATTGGCGGCCATTTTGGATTTTTTGGCCAAACGGTAAATTTTTTCCGTGGGCTACGGCTCTAATTTGATTTAGAATGTCAAAAGGTACCCAAATGCAAAATTTGGTGCTTTTATCCGCCGTGTCACGATTTTTTCCTTAAGCCACCGGACTATTAGTTGAACTTTTCCCTATTGATAGTGTTCTAATTGTAAATAAATTAATAAATAAATAAAACGGTTCGGTTAATGCGTTTTTAATGGATCGAAAGGCACGTGAATTTACCCCTTTGTGGGTCTATAGGTACTTGCAATTTTTGGAGATGGCGTATTTATCGGTACGTGGATTTATAAGCAGGTAAAGTAGTGGAACGCTATTTCGTATCAGCTGCCAGGGCGTTGTATACCGACCTATCTAGATCTCCTCTGACACAATGAGTGTACTTCATTCATCAATTATGATTTATCTGATGGATTCCGGTGTATAACGATCAAGTGATGGGTCATCGCAGGTTTTGATTGAGCATTTCGTAAGTCCGGTAAATGTTGGTATTTTGAAACGTTAATCTCATTGTGCAGGCGTATAGGTCTATACCAATGATAAGAGGAGCTGTATGCTAAATCCCTCTACGCCCCCTGCCTTTCCATTTCTATCATGGACACAGTGTCTGTCGTCCCTATGTGCTTTCCTGGATTCCTTTTCCCAAACAATTAAAGTAAAACGGTATCACTTATTCTCAAACTTGTGTAAACTTGCATAGCCTACTACTACAGTAGGATTAAAATGCTGCTTTAGTTAAAAAAAAAAACAGCATGATAGGATTTTTTGTTTGAAATTACGATTTTTTTCATAAATTGACATATTCCAGGTGTGGATCTGAAGTATAACTTTAATGTCACTGCTTCCATCAGTTTTGGCATATATCCTATGTATATTTGCCAGCTTTGCGGTCCAGTATAATAAGCCGGGTTGATGTCACATAGCACAAAATTAATACGTAAGTAAAAGTCATAAACTGTGGAGAAATAGACTTTTTCGAATTAATGACGGATTAGAAATTTATGAGTAGCTATATCGTATGCATCCAGGTACAAATGTTTGCCCGCTATTATACCTTTACTAATATCGCGTCTTTTAACAATTTTTTCTCATTTTTTCAATTATACCAGTAGCTCATTTGATTGTAATTGTGTTTAGTCATTAAACTAATAAAATGTTACCTGGCCTTTAACATTTACATGTTAAATAACCCTAAAAAAGTCAAGACTTTCTGTGACCTTGAGGTCAGGGCCCTATTGTTTTTGAGGGAAATAAAAATGTCATAAGTCTTACTTTAAACTTGCTCTATAAATTTGTAAGAAAAATGTGTTCCGGAAAAAGAAAACAATTGGATTGGATTTATGTATCATTATTATTCTATTTGTTTATTTATCTAAAGTGTATTTGTTTTTTCATTATTGTCATTTATTCTTTTTTATTGTGAGAGATGATATCTTTTCGTGATTGATATATATTTTGCAGTTCAGCAATTTATATTTCATTCATTTCTTCTTTTTGTCTGCTTCATGTATACACCTTTTTAAAAAAACATCTGAAACCCTTTAAAACATTTTACTACACTTTTTTTTTTTTTGGGGGGGGGGGGAAAGGGGGGCGTGAGTCAAAACTAAGCACCAAACCTGTGCACCAAACCTGCTCATAACAAAGTCAAATGGCATTAGCATCTTCTAGGTAGCTCAACACTTTGAAAAAATACTTTATTTACTTTGTATTTAGCACACAATAAATTGAATGAATTCGTAATCGTGTAAAAATTCCAAATAACCTTTATGGTACATGTAGACCTATGCTTGCTTTGTTTGTGCCTCCCATGTTTATAGTTTACTGTTGCAGTTTGACATGTAGATCGCAGAGATTTTTTCATTGTATTCACTATAATTAACTTGTAATGACCTGCATCTGGACGTAACCTTGCAGTGTTTGGTATGGCAAAGAGCACATATATGTAGCCTGATCATTGAAATTCAATGAACAGCAACCAGAACCATTGTTGACTAACCAAACAACGTTTCTAATGCGCAAACCAAACCTTTTCAAATTAGCATTTGGAATGATTTTATGAATAATCGCTCGTATTGAATAGCAAGTTGGATTGCGCTGCGATACCCATTGTTGTAAATCATCGATTCGGTCTCAAATTTATAATAGTAAATTTACTTATACAAATTCACACTAAATGAAAATTGGATTGAGTTCATGATTTAGTCAAAATAGAGGCGCCATCGTGGGCCTGAGAAATAAACAAGTACCTACTGTGGCTGTGACCATTAAACACAAAGGAAATGCCAGGTTTTGCGTCTTACTTCTTGTCAGGTATGCATCAAAATGAGCAAAAGCACGGATTTACGCTTAAATTTGGATGCAAATGAGTTGCCGGCACACGCTGAAAAAGACATTAACCACAACAAAGTGGTTTTACAGGACTTCACAGAAAATACAGAAGAGAATTTTGATGGTGATCTCTGTCGACAAGGCGAGAGCAAAAACAATGGAAAAGGTGATGTGTTGAATTTCTCCGTAGACCTTGGTGGGCATAGTGCTAACGCTGAAATAAACGAGGTAGGGTGTTCTCCAGGTCTAGACATTCCCCATCTGCTGATTTCCACCGACAGAGACACGGTGGCAGATGTCCCTGGGGCAGGACAGGAAAGTCATTTAAGCGAAGAACGCACGGGGACACCGATAAAAGTGGAAAATGGTTTGCTATTTTCAAATAAGAAACTAACCTCTTCTGTGGAATCTACAAAAAGGCGGAGAAGCATTACAGTATTATCTCCTTTGGAGGAGACGAGCAATGCCTCATTGCAAAGCGATCAGAATAATGATCCCAATAAAGACTCCTGGTTACACAGGAATTTCAGCACCAAATCAAATGTGCGGAGGGACAAATTGGGGGCAATTGATATTCCCAGGAGACATTCTTACACAAATCTCTCTACCGCAGAAGATTTATCTATGTCTCCCAGCAGTTTATTACGACGCGAACGACTTGAAACCCTAGAAATTCCGAGAAGGGGATCGTTATCCAATCTAAGTAGTTTAAGCACTGAAGATCTCACTGCTCTTCCAGGGGATAAGACGCTAATGATTTTGTCGACTGCCTCCAATTCTCCCGTTCTCCAAAGAAGAAATACTTTAGATACAATTGAACTCAAGCCAAAGAAATCACGGAAAAAGATGAGTGGAGTCAAAGAAACTTCAGATGAACATATAATGCCTAATGATACTGGCCCAATGCAGAAACTGACCACTTCTCAAGGTGGAAGATATGTGCGCAGACGAGCAGGACATTTGCCTCCATTACAAGAAAACAGTAGTCTTCCAGACGTGGAAGATGAACATGGACGGCGACAAAGCTTGGATAAAAACTTTAAGATATTAGAATAGTTCTTTTATCTGTTAATATTATTTCAGATGCTATTTTACAAATCACTTTGCCTCCCAGATTACGAAATTATGTTAATGATCAGTGTAAAGCAAATGTTTTCATATCGAAATAAACTAAGGTTTGTCATTATTATAGCTATTTGTGGCTAAGTCATAAAAACGCCATGCATAAAATATTCTATATATTTATCCAAAGTGCCTTTTGATAATTCGAATCAATGTACCTAATTTGCTTTATAAGACCATGTGATATTATAGAAAGCTGACCTTCCTAAAGCAAGAAATAATACTATGCGAGGCTTTATTTGTATGTTTATCATTAATAGATCAACATATAAGTTGTTAAAATTAATTTTACTAACATAATGTTCTGAATTAAAAATTACAAAATTAAGTGAGACTTTGAGAATAAAAAAGGCTCCTATGACAACTACGTTTCCTTTTATTTCTCTGTATAAATATTTCCTGGTAATTGTCTCTGGGCGATCATNTAGAGGCGCCATCGTGGGCCTGAGAAATAAACAAGTACCTACTGTGGCTGTGACCATTAAACACAAAGGAAATGCCAGGTTTTGCGTCTTACTTCTTGTCAGGTATGCATCAAAATGAGCAAAAGCACGGATTTACGCTTAAATTTGGATGCAAATGAGTTGCCGGCACACGCTGAAAAAGACATTAACCACAACAAAGTGGTTTTACAGGACTTCACAGAAAATACAGAAGAGAATTTTGATGGTGATCTCTGTCGACAAGGCGAGAGCAAAAACAATGGAAAAGGTGATGTGTTGAATTTCTCCGTAGACCTTGGTGGGCATAGTGCTAACGCTGAAATAAACGAGGTAGGGTGTTCTCCAGGTCTAGACATTCCCCATCTGCTGATTTCCACCGACAGAGACACGGTGGCAGATGTCCCTGGGGCAGGACAGGAAAGTCATTTAAGCGAAGAACGCACGGGGACACCGATAAAAGTGGAAAATGGTTTGCTATTTTCAAATAAGAAACTAACCTCTTCTGTGGAATCTACAAAAAGGCGGAGAAGCATTACAGTATTATCTCCTTTGGAGGAGACGAGCAATGCCTCATTGCAAAGCGATCAGAATAATGATCCCAATAAAGACTCCTGGTTACACAGGAATTTCAGCACCAAATCAAATGTGCGGAGGGACAAATTGGGGGCAATTGATATTCCCAGGAGACATTCTTACACAAATCTCTCTACCGCAGAAGATTTATCTATGTCTCCCAGCAGTTTATTACGACGCGAACGACTTGAAACCCTAGAAATTCCGAGAAGGGGATCGTTATCCAATCTAAGTAGTTTAAGCACTGAAGATCTCACTGCTCTTCCAGGGGATAAGACGCTAATGATTTTGTCGACTGCCTCCAATTCTCCCGTTCTCCAAAGAAGAAATACTTTAGATACAATTGAACTCAAGCCAAAGAAATCACGGAAAAAGATGAGTGGAGTCAAAGAAACTTCAGATGAACATATAATGCCTAATGATACTGGCCCAATGCAGAAACTGACCACTTCTCAAGGTGGAAGATATGTGCGCAGACGAGCAGGACATTTGCCCCCATTACAAGAAAACAGTAGTCTTCCAGACGTGGAAGATGAACATGGACGGCGACAAAGCTTGGATAAAAACTTTAAGATATTAGAATAGTTCTTTTATCTGTTAATATTATTTCAGATGCTATTTTACAAATCACTTTGCCTCCCAGATTACGAAATTATGTTAATGATCAGTGTAAAGCAAATGTTTTCATATCGAAATAAACTAAGGTTTGTCATTATTATAGCTATTTGTGGCTAAGTCATAAAAACGCCATGCATAAAATATTCTATATATTTATCCAAAGTGCCTTTTGATAATTCGAATCAATGTACCTAATTTGCTTTATAAGACCATGTGATATTATAGAAAGCTGACCTTCCTAAAGCAAGAAATAATACTATGCGAGGCTTTATTTGTATGTTTATCATTAATAGATCAACATATAAGTTGTTAAAATTAATTTTACTAACATAATGTTCTGAATTAAAAATTACAAAATTAAGTGAGACTTTGAGAATAAAAAAGGCTCCTATGACAACTACGTTTCCTTTTATTTCTCTGTATAAATATTTCCTGGTAATTGTCTCTGGGCGATCATATCTGGTAGAGGGTATCTTGAACCCATCATCCAAAATGAAGGATTCAAGATCACGTCATTAGTATTAGTAGGCCCTAAAACCCCCAGGTCGTCAATTACGAACATTGAATACACGGAATTTAATTCATCTTTCAAAACTACATATTTGGTATACATTTGCCATAGATTGTGTTGAAATCTATATAATGGCATTTTATTGTAAACGATATTCGCTGCGTGTGTGTGTGTGTGTGTTTAAAGCAATGTGTTGTATTTGCTTATCGTGTTCACCATAAAACGACATAGTGGTTACACCCTCATTTACCTTTCAATTTTTTTTGTATTATGCGACTTCTCTTCGATGATTACCCTGAAGTCTTATACCCACTGGTGTTAGCGATGGGTAGCAGTTTTGAACTCACTTCGTTATAAATGGTTCAGTATATTGCTACTTGAAATATACGGGTCGGTGGATTTTCATCTAGATCCCAGATACCTAATTTTATCTGGTCGAGGTTGAAAATGGGTAGCAAACGTCTTTCTGCCGACATTGGCAACGTGCCTATATAATGTATAAGGAAGAAATAAATTGTTTATTGCCTATTTACAGCTTCAGTTGAAATTTAAGTCTCAGTGTCAGGTTTCCAAATGTTCAAACTATAATAGAAAAAGTGCGGTTGACGAATTCAGTCTCTGCAATGATCAATTTTCAGCACCTACGGAACAATAGTGGATTGTTGGTTTTTGTACAATTTTAGTTTCTTTATTCTGACTAGATCGGTCTACTATGGAGCAAGAGATCTATTGGCGGGAATGAAAAGATCTATCCTCTTATCCTCAAGTAAATATTTGTCTCAATGTCGGTCCAATTTCTTCAGACCTGAGGTATAAAAATGTTGAGACACGGAGGCTAATGGTATAGTTGCTGTCGCATATGAAATACCTCGCTTACAGTCTGGTGCGTTTGATACGTAAAAATAGCTTATCTTCTGCTTAAAAAAAACTGCATCAAAAAGAACACAAATAAATGTCACTGTGATGCTTCGGAAATGGTTGTTAACCTTTCTTATAATAGAAATAATTTCTTTTCGTTAGGAGTATTGAAGTCAGATGGCTGTGGAGATTTGTTCCGTTACCTTTTTGTTATGTGTACATTAAGATATTTCAGAGGGTGCAGATTTTATTTCTTACTTTTTTATATCTGGTGCTATTAATTGAATGGAAGGGTTCGTGTCCTCGTTTCAGCTACAACTATTCTTTCACAGAGAGGCCACGCGATTGAGGAGTGGCGTTTATAGGCTGTTCCGCGAAAAAAAAGATGCTTCAGTTATCCTTTTCTGTTGAATGTTGATGTAACGTGTGATATAACATGGCAAAGAATTGAGAATTTGGGAAGATAAAAAAGGGGTGATGATAATGAGAATCAACGCCTCTGTTAAAACTAATTAAGTTATGACTCAAAGCAAAAAGAACCACGTTTGAAGTAATGTATTATTTACTTCATGTTTTTATTTCATAAAAAAATTATATTTTCAAAATGAACACTTACAATAATCAAACTTTAACTCCTCCAAGCACCGTAAAATTCATATAAAACAGTATCTTAACACCAGGCCATAATATTTTTAAGGGATTTCCTGAAGCATGTATATTCCCATCAGTTTTTATTCTAATGTCAACAATGTACCATAGTATAGATTTTAACAATGAATTTGAAATGCTCACAAATCAATCTTTGTGTCTTATATTAGACGACTGAATTAAAACATGTAAACGATTCGGGAATTTGCCCATCTTCAAGCTTTAAAATTCACCTTAAATCTATTGCTTGATAAACTTCAGCACAATTCTCTCTTCTACAAGTCCCCTTTTCTCTCCCAGTGGAACTTCCATAAAAATCTGCATCACAAAAGGATGAAATTAAATGCCAGTATAAAATGATGGAGGAGTCTTTTCAATCTTTGCAAACATGATCTAAAAATCCTTATTTTACTTTTAATTTTATCAAATCAAAATTAAAACAATTTTCTATTGAAAATGCTGAGAATTTTCCTAATTTTTATCTTGAAGTGATGACAACATTGGCCCCCTTTTATGCAAGAGTGAAAAAACTAAAATTAGTAACAGTAAAATACATACTTATTTTACTAAGATTATATCAACCTAGTGATGTTCATATCATTGGTTTAAAATTATGTGAGAGTATTTCAAATACAAATTCATAAGTAAACTAAGCATGCACTGGACTACCTACTGCAAGAATGAGCCTAGAATGGGCCAAGAATGAGCCTTTAAAAATACTCATTTCTTTAAGTCATATTTTGATATATCTATATATATATATATATATGTTTCTGAACAGATTTATATGCAATTATATGGTTTTGTTAAGTACAGACAATAAGTCTATATGAAAGAAAATTAATAAAACAAGTAAAAAAATGAATCATTAGGAATCAAGCACTGGTGAAACAATTCCAAATTATTGGTAAATGCTCTTATTAAATGAGTGTTAAATTAACCTCAACAACCTCCAGGCTTTTTGTGGAGAATATGTTTAAAGTTAAATAAAACACTTTTGTGAGGACATCCAAATAAGCACTTAATTAACAGCTTGAAATTCTTTTGTTAAATATTGCCACTTTTACCACATGCCTTAAAATATATTTTTGTTTCAATTGTTTTTAACAAAATATGTTTACAATGTAATCATATGTTCTTAATCTAAGATCAACATAAAATTCTAAACATCAGCCCTCTTTTTGGAAATGGCGCATTAAATTCAATTACCCAATGAGATTCATCAATTGACACTTTCAAATATATATTGATTTATTTCCACAGGAAAACAGCCAACAGACAGCTTCATGACGTTCTACAATTTGAGTCTCCATAAATATATAAAGGGAGATATAAAAGAATTCACCAGCATGCAATAGACAGTGTTAATTAGAAATAACGGACCATCAGAGTCTCCCAAATTAGACATGTTGCTGTAAAAATAGGTCAAATGATAAATTCTCCTCAGAAGACATGTAATGTGGTTTAGATCCCCACTCAACCCAGTCCAACTTGGTCCCGCTGGTTTCAGGTTGTTTCTGATGACTTACTTTCATACAGCATCCGTGCTCCCTGAAATGTTGAGATTGAAAGAAACTTGATGATTCAAAATCAACATAAAAATCTTGTAACCTCTTAAATTGCTATTCATTTTTGCTAACTTATTTTGCATGTGATTAATTTTTGATATGCTATCTAATCCAACTTCCTCTACGACTTTTTATAAATTAAACTTCTAAAAGAAATCATAAGGTAAAACATAAAAGCTGAGATACATGTTAAGCTTCTGTTAAATAAAACATTACTGGAAGCGATACCTTTTGCATAGCTGCTGTCCACAGCTGTGATGCTTTCTTATTTGGTAAATTGGTAATTGACATCCTAAGAAACTGTTGGTCCGACTGACGGTCTTTATATTTGATAGATAACCCGATGGCAATGGGGCTTGCTGCAATTGAAGAGACAAGAAAAAAAAATCAATGAAAATATACACACATTTTTCATTTTCAAATTACCAAGAATTTTAGAGACCAATTTAACTATCAATTTTCCGTTTTGCCAATTATGCATATATATTAGTCATTTGCTTAATCTGGTTTTGTTCTTTATTAAATCAACTCTACTATTTTTACTCTTCACAGTTCCCTTCCTCATGAAGTGTACACCTACATATGTACAACTTTGTGTTTTAATGTGAGTGAGACAAGAACAAGAACAGAAGCAATTTGAAGTTAGATGACAAAATATCACATTTAAAGATTCTGTTGCACAATGATGTTTAAACAAAAAACTGAAGTCCTGTCCATTGTGTAATGGTGACAAAGGGAAATGTATAATGGGGCCAACTAGCAGCTTTCCTCACCAGCTCTAAATAAGCTTGTGTGATTCAGTCTAAATAATATAAGCAATCCTGTATATAACATCTCAACAGCATGACCTTCAGGCGTGTGTGCGTGTGCATGTGTGCGTGTGTGTGAAAGGGGGGGCTGCCATTTGGGTAGGAATAAGTCCACTGTGAACCAAAATTTTAAGTAGGTTCTATGCCCTTTCTCAAGTTGAGTAAACTTAGGGGTGAAAAGTTCCATTATTTAAAAAAAAACCTCTCTCTATAAATTGCAAGCAACAAGAGAGACACCAAGAGAGACACCTCCTTTTTAAGCTGCTCAAACTAATATTTTTCAAAAGATGGGAGTAAAGCTATTAGGACAACTACTGGGTTACATAAACAGTCTTCTGGCAAATAAAACCATCCAGTTGTGGTTTACCTGGAAAGTGTAAAAGGGGCCATACCTAATGAATTTCTAAGACGTGTTCACACTGTTGATAGGTCAGCCCTCTGCCATACTGCCCACCTCTTTGGAAGTCTGATTAGCTACCATAGCTCAAGAAAGTATGATAATGAATTGACTTAACCTTTTCAAAGGGAAAATTGTGAATTTTAAATTTACAGATACTATATTTATTTTTAGGTCATAAATCCTTAAAATTAAGTGATTCATATTGAGTGGTAACAGCAAAATTGGAAAGCAACTTAAAGATCAATTCAATACAGTTAAAGCACCTCAAATGCAATACAGATGTACATTTTTAATGATTCCAAAATTATGTTTTGGGATGATATATTATTTTTTCAATTGAAAAGGAAGAGTCAAATTTTCTTTTTTGTCTGCAGTTAGGCCTTTTTTTTTTTTTTTTGCATCAATTGGTATATTTCATGATACAGCTGTTCCAGTACACTTTGAGAGATTATCAACTTATTGCTTGTAAAAGTCTGGCAACCATGTAAGAGAGTCACCTAAACAAAGCCTGTGTCCAACACAGCCAAATATTTAACTAAGTGAAAAAACAGGAAGGAAACTTGTAGATATTTGGCGAAATGGAGTAATAGGGATGCATGCTAGGACCTCTTAAAGCGTACAGCTGTATCATTGTTTGATATGAAAAGGTCTTACGTGGCACATCTTGTCAAATGATGAATGTGTTAAAAGGCAGGAAAAACAAAAGGGATCATAGGGATTATAGCTGCTGTCTTTGGTGAGCTACAGTAAATAGGACAGCCTATTGAGACAGTTGCACTGAGAAGAGTTGAATGCGACTGCAGTTTCTACACTTGAAAGTGTGAGCAGCATGCCTAAAAACACAGTCTGGTTCACATATAACAATCACAAATAAGCTAGTTCAACATTGCATGCTCTCCTGTTATTTACCTTCTTCCAAAGTGAGTGCTTTAAATCAAAATAGGTTGAGATTAAATATTGTGACTATATGCACTTTCAGTCATAACATTATGATGAAGACCAAATATTCTGTAACACAAGCTTATATCAGACAAAACTATGCATGCCAATAGACTAAATAAATTAAAATAACAAAGAAAACTCAATTAAGAATACAGGACCAACCAGGGATAGGGAATGGAACTTAAATGCCACCTCCCCAGTTTTTAAACTCTTTGGGTTCGCTCACATGAAAAATCTATTTTCTAAAAATCTATTGCCATTATCTTGTGATCATAGATTTTTAGAAAATAGATTTTCCATGTGAACGAACCCTTTGTTTCCTGAATATAATTGAGCATCATTTAAAAACTTGTTTTTTTTTCTATTGTTGCCAAAAATTCTAAACACGGTAATGATAATAAAACTTAAAAGTAAAAATAGCAAAAATAATTAAAGTAGGGTTGAGAATCCCATTTTGCATCATCAGTCAAATGTAGCGGTCACCAACCCAACAGAAAGACACCTCAGTAAAGACTGTGTTGCTGTGATGACCTGCTCCTGCACAGGAAAACAACTAGTCACTACAATGACCAGATGACAACAAAGCATCATCCATTTTACCTGTGTGAATGTCCCTCATCAGATTTAAATATAATATAATCTAATTTAATATAATATAATTTATATAATACAAGTAAAGCTAAATAAAAATCAGATTACAGTGTATATATTATATATTAACCTTGGTCATCTGCACTTGAAGTTAAAATTTGTACAGAGTCCACCTTGCTCAGCTCTACAGGCTCATGTTTTCTGTGTTCTCCCTCAAACTGCAGTGTCCTGTGGAAAAAAATAGTTTACTGAGTAAGGAAACATAGACTGGGTTCCCATCCCTAGATCGATCTAACAGGATCGGTCCATCTCCACGGGGTCCCCCGCCAAATTGCTTTTAGCCCAAGCGGCTTAGACGTCTGGGACACCCACCAAAGCTGCTAAACGATAGTTAATTACCCCCTGTCAGCTTTAGCAGGTGTGACAGACAACCAAGGCACCCAATTTAATTGCAATTAAGTGAGAATCCCCTCGGAATTAGTTCGATCCAAAGTTGGTACGATAGTCAAAGGTAAAGATCCATATCATCCAGATATTGCATAACTAATATTGCCATATTAATATTGAGCAGAACCAAGTGGGATAATATGCTGACTGAATAATTACCAATAATTAATTAAAAATATCTTAAGTGAATACAAATACAAAATAAATACAAAATAAAGGAATAGAAATAAAAAATATCAAAATCCACAATATTAAAAAATTATCAACCCCCCCTCATCCCGCCCCTCTCTCTCCTTCTCTCTCTCCCTTATATTCACCTGACCTTTATCTACAACTGTGCTTCAATACTAAAACATTCCACAAGCAAAACATAATATCAGCAGCAGCTGTACATAGTTTGCGAGCCAATTCAAATTTGTTTTTGCAGAACTGTTTCTTATTCTGAAAGTGTTAATTTTTTAAAAGATATGTACACATTTTTCAATGTATAAAAATCTTATACATATCACAAAATTATTATTGGCTAGTTATGACTGCATTTCTTTCTTTCTTATTTTAATTTTCATTTTTAAGAAAAAGAATCTTCCAGGATAATACCTCTGGTCCTGTGATATCTTGCAGAAAAATAATTCTTCATTATTTTCTTCAATTGTTGATCCACTGAGAAAAAAATCAGCACCTAAAAATTTAAAGCCAAAGGTTTTAATGCTGACCAATGATTTCATATGTATGTCTAGTAAAGGATTATCTTTCTGAGAGAAGCAATCTGAGATGATCAACTTACTAATGGTTGGGAATCTGAATTGGTGTAACCATATTTTTTTCCTTTTTCTGTTTTTGTCAATCCATAAATTAATAAATAACAAAGAAACAGTCTAATTATGTACAACATATAACATACATAAAGTAAATCTTTCAGACCAGGACCATAATTAATACTTCTATCTACAAAATAACACTACTACCCCCTGCTTCAGGTTTGCTCCTTCATTTTCAAATCTCCCTATGTGCATGCATTTTGGACTCTTTACAGTCAGCAGCAAGTTTAATCAAAGTTTACCCCACTAGTCTCAAACACACAACCAGGTTTGGTGGTTTTGTAGAAAGGCATGTAATGTAGTTAACAGACTTCCAACATTTGTGATGAGTGCGGTAAACTTGAAGCATACGTTGCTGAAGATCAGTTGCCGTGAGCAGGCACAAGTGGGAATTTGAAAAGAAAAGTTGGTTCACATTTCTTCTGAAATTCAGGCTACCCATAACATACATGAAAAAAAAAGGTTGATATCAAGCAGATGCGAAAATTAATATAAAAAAATACTTACCATTAGTTAAAGTTTTTAAATGTTTGTCAAAGAACTCATTTTCCTTTCGTGTAACTGCTGCACATGTGTCACAAACACGTACTGGGTCAACAAAACACATGCGTGGCAGAGCAATCTTGATGGTACAACATTTGTCACAGAAGCATTTGCCACACCTCCGACAGTGATGCTAAAAATAAGTAATACACAAATTAATGAATCCAACTCTTTTAATTTTTTTCAATACATGTAAAATTCCTCCAGAACAGCTGAAAATCAGTGTTGTGCCTCTCCTACAGAAGTACCAAAGATGGGAGTGGAGGGTGCTGACTAACTGCACTCTTTGGTTGAGGTTTATAACACTTATAGCCTAATTTCCTGGTGAAGGTGTCTTGTTAGACATTTTAATATTGGACCAGTTAATAATATTTTTAGCTGCTGTTGGAAATACTTATTTTTATAACACAGACTTTAACCAAATTTAACACACTTATCACATATTGCTCAGTTTCTGAAATTCAAGACCTGTACAAAATTTAATTTTTCCGACATAATTCAGAATACAATAAAAAGACAAATTATATTGGCAACACATATTGTGAGACATTGCACACCAAGCCATGAGGATACACCTACCCTTCTTTTCATAAAATCAAATCTTGTGGAACACTTCATACACTCGTGGCACTGTGAAGAAAGTAAACAAAAGTCTTAGACATTAATAAAAATTAAATATAAAGAAGTAAAGGTATGTGAAAAATACGGAAAAGACATTTCTCTGGTTCTAAATCTTAATCTTGGACTTATTAAACATCAGTCAAGATTTAAAGTCAAAAATACATTATAAATTTCGGTACCACTTTTTTCACATTGCGTAAAGCAAGTGAAAAGTTACATGCATTCCCCACCTTTTCATTTTGTGTAAAAAGACAATGTAAGAGCAATGATATTTACTGATTTTTTTAAAATAATTCCATGCCATTTAGACAAACATTATCTATAAATATTTAACACAAACACAGTCGACAGGAAAAAACAGGAAAACCTTTAATGTGGTAATTGTATATTAATAATTGTGAACTATTGTGATGATCATCTCTACCCTACTAAAAAATAATAACCATTAAAAAATCCATCAAGCCCGATCCCATCCATACTACATATTAAAAAGAAATGTCAATCTTTTCTCCACATTACTATATATAGCAGCTGAGGAACACCTTCTCATCATCATAATTCAAAGGTCACAGAATGACGTTATTCTCTTCAATGTCAGGGTACACCTGATCAGGTTCAGTTTACCCCCTACACAGCTACCAGAATTTACAGACTTTGAGGTGAGTTTTTCCCCCATTGCAATATATAAATGCTTATAGATTCAATTAAAGGGGATTTCCATGGAATTCACTTTTAATTAGACCTAAAATTACTATGCAGATACCGTCTACTCTTTCCTATGGTGATTCCACATTGCACCACTTTGATGCATGACTCCAGGTATTTGCATATTATTGAAGGGCATGATAGAAAATTTCAAGGTTAGCATCTGCTTCATCAATAAATGAATCCAGTATATTTTTTTTATTCAGAACGTATACTTCAATAAATGCCTGAGTAGTGAATCAATTGAGTTAAGGTCCTTTCAAGGACAAAGCGTTCTGCAGATGCCTGGTTCTAACCAGACAAAATTAGGACAGTCGTAACCACAAACAAAACTAGGAAGTATTTTAATGGTAAAAGGGTTTCAAAAGGAAAAAAAATTCTTTGTGAGACATCCATGTATAATATCCAATTGTTCTAATGGCAAACAATACAAAAAAACACTACACCATCAATAGTGTACAGCTGATCTATTACTAATATCCCTTTTCCAGATCTTTTATAGACCTACCAGTACTTAATAATATACTGTCCATGTTTATCATTCAAACTCACTCTTAACCAGCTCAATACTTTATTCTTCATGTATATCTCTCGTGATATTTACAACTCAAAGTTTTGCTTAGTGGGTCTTCTCTCTGCTACAACTCGACAAGTACTTTATTTTTACCCTTGAAATAGTACATTTTCTTCTAGTTAAGTAATGTTATAATTTCTCTTTCCTGGTCAGGCTGGGGTAGCATATAAAATTGTACAACTGCCAAAGGGTTTAAGTCTATGAAGAAATTTTTACAAGAATTCCTAAAAAACCAACTTAATTCATCAATAGAGTTATCATATCATTCTCATCCATTTTTTTCTATCATCAGATGGCATCCAAACCACAACAACAGGCCAAGAAACTTGGCTTTGTAGAAGTTTTTGCCCTCAGTGGCGCTGCCGCAGTTATATCCAAGACTGCAGCCGCCCCCATTGAGCGTATCAAGCTGGTTGTGCAGAACCAATCAGAAATGGTGAAAGCGGGGACACTGGAGAGACCATTTAAAGGAATTATAGACTGTACCACCTGGATTTACAAGAATGAAGGTAGATATCACAGGCATAATGATGTAAATTATTCTCCTCATTTGTTTGGGTGAAAGGCCCATTTGGGCATATTACATTGCAGTATAAAAAGTAAAAGAAGCATCAATATTAATAAAATTGAATGAGAGAGAGAGAGAGAGAGAGAGAGAGAGAGAGAGAGATGATATCTGAAAAGATGTTGAAATAAGACTGCACTATTCATTTTGGTTGAAAACACTTGGCAAAGGAAGAAGAAGGGCAATGATTTCAAAACATATTATATCACTATTTGCTTGGATTATTACACATTCAAGTACCTTGTATAACACTTGACTTTTTTATATCATTCTAGGCTTGATATACTTCTGGAGAGGCAACATCCCCAACTGCATTCGATATTTCCCAACACAGGCCCTCAACTTTGCCTTCAGAGATAAAATCAAAAAAATTTTTGCATCTGCGCCAAATGAGCCTTATCCTGTAACATTTAGTAAAAACATAGCATCTGGTGGTGTAGCTGGTGCACTGTCCTTGATGTTCGTCTACTCATTAGATTACTGCCGAACCCGTCTAGCCAATGACATGAAGTCTGCCAAGAAAGGCTCGGAGCGCCAGTTCACAGGAATGTTTGATGTCTACTCCAAAACCTGGAAGGCGGATGGCATCAAGGGTCTGTACCGTGGCTTTGTTGTATCCTGTGTGGGAATCATAGTCTACAGAGGCTGCTACTTTGGGTTCTACGATAGCCTGAAACCAGTCCTGCTCGGACACGATGCTGGAGTTGCCACTTCCTTTCTTCTGGGTTATGCTGTTACAGTCACATCTGGATTAATATCTTACCCCATTGATACCATAAGGCGACGTATGATGATGACCTCTGGTGGTGGGGTGCACTACAGTGGTTCCATCGACTGTGCCATCCAGATCTTCAAGCATGAGGGGGCCATGTCTTTCATGAAAGGCGCTGGAGCCAACATCCTAAGAGGTGTGGCAGGGGCAGGTGTACTAGCAGGATTTGATAAATTCAAGGCTGTCTATGTTGCTTGGCGTCTGAAGTCAGCATAACTGAATGAGTGTAAATGTGTTCAGTATTTTAGGTTGCTTCAAAGACTGTTAATACTCAGACACTGCAGAAGACTTTTAACAGAAGTGTTTTTAATGTTAATTTGGAGATAAAAGACAAATGATGATATTCTGAGTAAATCAAACAAACCCCATCATATCTGCATTGAATTTAATGTGAAATAAAATACAATACTAGTAATCTTGTTCAGAATAAAACTGTAAGTATCAAACAAGTATTCTGTGGATAATCCTTTTTAGCATTTTCACAAAACAGCATTCATTTTGCAAAGCATATGTCACTACATACATGTATTAAAGAAACATGAAATGTTTTATTTTAAAAAGTGTCCTGATTGTTGAATTCACTGACAACTTAACAAATAAATAGTTATTTGTAAAAAGTGACTTTGCATTACTTTGCCCCCCCCCCCCCCATTCCATGCCTAGTAAATGTAAAATAATGAAACAGAGAAACTGGAAAGAGATAGAATTTATATGGCAACTCTTTACCAAATACACACCAAAATAATATTAGGCACATCTATATTTCATCTTGGCCTGCATGATCTCAAACATAATCTGAAAGATTGTTTGGGATATGGAAACAATACAATGTCATTATATCTGATCTACTAGTACTTCTCACATTCAAAAATCAGTTTATGGTACTTTTCAACTGGTGTATGGTTTCATGGCAGTATAAATGGTAGATGACCAGATGATTTACACATCAACATCAAATTTGGATGGCTTTTCAGCAGTATAACTATAAGACATGAGGTGTAAGGTAACCTCTCCCCCCCCCCCCCCAAGTCAAAACTGCCACACTACCTGAAATTTCATGCAATATCACAATTATCTGGTCAACATCTTTTCTGCATTAATTGGCACATATATTAAATATGTAAAAAAATAATAAATTAAGTGTTAACACATTAATATTCATGCTATGTCTGCATCAAGCACAGACTTTCTATTTGCAATATGAACTGCAATGTCTACAGGGTCTTCAATAGCTACAAGTACATGTACGTATGTGTGGCAAAACCCTGGAGTTTTACAAACATTTGAAAAGTGATGGGGAGACATAAGGCGAAATGTTATATGGTGAGAGGTATGGATTATGACTATTATTGTCTAATTTTTACTGTAGTCCATCGGCATCAACAAACTTTTTTCTCTCGACAAATGCTCAACAGCTTAGCAATGCACTTTTTAAGAATTAGAAGCAGGTATATGTTCAACTTTATCCAACAAACACAAAGACATTATTTGGAGCTTTGAAAAATACCATGTCCAAACTTTACAACCAGAGTCTCTATCACTACTTAATGTAGGTGCTAGTGTAAAAAAAATGTATTAGTACAAGTACTGGTAGTTGTAGTTTCAGATTCAGATTGCTTTCTTCTGTATCTCTCTGGTGAGCCCTCCATATTTAAGAGGTTGTCAT